TGGATTGCGTTATCGTGAGAAGATTAACGATTTTTTATGGGCGATTTTTGGACAATTTTTTGTATGAACCAGACGGCTCTATGTGCCACCAAAGCAAGGAAACCGTTGATATTTTAAGTGAAAAGTTTCCAAACTGTGTCATCTGTCGAACAGGTGATCGCAGCTGTCCGCCGCAATCTTGTGATTTAACAGCCTTCGTCGCCTTGTTTTGGGCCCGCGTGGGAGATAAGATTTATGTCAACAACTCAAGATCTCCAAGATGGAATTCGTGAAGCCATTGAGGGTATCCAGCAGCTACTTTGCGATTTGGTGATGAAAAATTTTATAAAAATGATGGGGCCTTGCAAACGTAGGCGTGTCAGGAATATGGCTCATATTGGACATCCGACGATTTAATTATTGATTTTATTTTTACTTGAATATGAAAATATCACCAGTTTTATTTAATTTATATACTCGAGTGTATATTATATCTATTATGAAAGATTGCCTTTGGCTACATATTCCTATTTATCTTATCGCCTTCTATTATAGATAACTTTTGTGGAATCTAAATTTGTTTGTTTCTAGGGCGGCTTACTTTTAATGCCTCTTTTTCTTTCTCAAAATATTTATTTTTGACACACCTTATTTGTACTTCTTCTGAGGATTTAATATTTAAAAAGTTGGATAAGCGAGGCGGTACTCCATTCCTAATCTTGCTTCCACGTCGCGCGCCCTGAAAACGTGATCAACTCTTGTGCAAGTTGCGGTAACCAAACGTGTGGTGCCTTGAGGCACGGCTACTGAGAGAGGAAGCTTCAATGGAGCCACTCCGACTTATTCGGTTTAAGGTACGGTGCTGAAGTCTAATTGCAATGTCGCCGTGTATCTCGTAAAGCTCAGCTCATCGTTCCATCTCGTTTTCTCTCGAAAACTTCTAACGCCGACTCATCAGATGTTGTCATCGTCCATGTTTTCACACCATATAACAGGACGGAAACGATGGGTGTATTGTAAGAGTTATTCTGCGCTGGATATCAATACTGATGTTATTATTGGTGTTAATGCTGGTCCTGGTGTTTAGACTAAATTATCTGCGACCTTGAAGTCATGACTATCAACAGTGACGTGGCAGCTAAGTCGCGAATGCGGTGACTGTTTGTTTGATGACAGCAGATATTTCGTCTTGTCCACGTTCTCTACCAGACCCACATCGTTCGCTTTCTTATCCAGTCTGGAGAAAGCAGAACACAGTTTATTGTCAATATCAACACCGTACGACAGCAGCTGTACACTATTATAGAAGTTTGTACCTTCTCTAGTCAGCTCTGCAACTCTTAAAATTTTCTTCAGTAATAAGTTAAAAAAAGTCACACGATAAGAAATCACCCTGTCTGAAACCTCGTTTAATATCAAACGGATCGGAGAAGTCCTTCCCGATCCGGACGGAGGTCCAATCAGTTTGTTGTCGACGGTGAGGTTTGACACAACACGCTCGAAAGGCCTTATTCCACGGGTATTGGCGCAGACTGTGGGATCGTCCATACGGATATGTCTAAATCAACTCAATTCGTAATTGTCATATCTTCTCCTTCGGGTACTTACATACTTCGGACCAAAGTTAATATAACATTTCATGTATGTAAAAGTCAGGACTTGAACCCAGATAGTACGCACTGGTAACTACTCGGCTTTTTAAAAAGTCTGCACATACTAATAAATAAAAATAAATATTTATAGCTTTACCTACGACCTACAGACTTTTCCACGAAGTGGCCGAAAATGCCGTTAATGTTCTGATCGTCATTCGAATCGCTGCAACGTCTACCCGTTTCTGAAGCGGATGATGACTGGTGATATATGTAAAGTTGGTCACTCACAGCAATGTCAAACGAAAGTAGTCGCGATCGAAAGGCAGTAGCCGGTACAAACTGTCTCCCAATTAGGATTGACGTCCATGAAGGTTTTGTTATGTGGTTGGTGGGATTAGCAAGGAATCATCCATTATAAGTTGCTCCTCTACTCTTAATTCGAACGTGTCTTGTCCGCTATTCGTCAGTCTAAATGAGGCAACCGCCCAGAAGAGCCAACAAGAGGGGAATTGCGCTTCAACCGGACATAGCTGGATCACACACATCGATAGTGACTCCACAGAAGTTTTGAGAAATTGGTTATGGTACGCACTTATGCATCTTGACTATGGCGACTGATTTGGATGTTGGGCTGTTGGAAGAATTGAACTTAAGAGAAACGTGTGAAAATCCATTGCCTCAATTTTCGGCCGTTAAAAGACAAGAATTTCTATCAAAGTGGGATAATGACATTACTGGCGAAATGGCGAAAAGTTATCAAGCAAAATCTTGCACATTTCACATTGAGCGTATAATTATAAGTATGGTAAATAAAGCCTTCGTTTTAAGCAAAAAATAATGGATTACTTTTTATTTGACGTAATATATTATAGGTTAAATTTAAGATAAAAATAATTTTAATCACTCCAATTAATTGTTGAAATATTGGAAGCACAAAAAAAAAAAACAAACAAAAAATTTAATTCTAATTTCTCTATGTGTAATAATGAAAAGCGATAAGACAAATTGGAATTTGCCGCCAAAAACAAACTTCAATTTTGTAGAAAAAAAATAAATAAAAATTACAAAAAATATTAAAAAAAGTAGACAAATTTATAAAATAAAGACGTAAGATATTATATTGTTACGATTTTGCTGAATCAACCTCGATAATTTTCTGAATCCTTCGGGTACGATCTCTGGATTGTTAAATAAATAATCGCCAACTTAATTTGCAGTTTCTTTCGTTATAAAAAAGATATCTAATGTCCTTTATTTACTCAGTAATTCACAATTCAATTACAATGCACTTTACTAGTTACAATCCCTTGTATAAACTTTCACAATTTATTTGACTTAAATGTAATCTCCAACGCGCTTACTTTACGACTCTATACTGATGTTGTCGCCAACGAGTTCACTTTGTAACTAACTTCTTGGCAGCTGAGTGTCGCTCTTATATAGCAGTCGGCTGCTCGTAGACGAAAGTGTAGAATAATTGAGATGTTCGCTATCGAAGGTTCTCGTTTTATCGTTCTAGAATGTACTAGTTATCGGTTTCTCTCTTTCATCTGACATTCGCCTCGCATTTTCGCAACAATATTATTATAGACATAAGTACATATATCGTATGTATAGTGGCGATCAAATGTGATTCCACGATCAACGTTTTCATGTTTGAGCTCAAATAAATATTTAATGAATAAAGTAAATTACAAAAACTTGTTTTTTATTGAACATCTTGTTTATTTTTTCAATAAGACGTATATAGTTAAATAGAAAAAGAAGAAAAGGAATAGTCATGCTATAAAAAAACCAAAACACGCGGCTTTTGCACCATCCGTTATTCGCTCATATTTTTGCTCTTCTTACTCTCTTATCATCAATAGATCATCAGATTTACCGTTAAGTGCCTTTTGCATTTATTATTCGTTGTCAGAATTCAGAAAATCACTCTCTTCCACTAGTTTATGGTTGATTTGTTGCATTTGGAACTTAGTCTCTAACTATTCACAGAAAAATGAAGAAGCTGTCTTCTGATAAAGAAAATAGTATTAACTCCCTGACTAAAAGTAGGCGTTCGACACGCATTATTGCTGAGAAGCTGCAAATTAGTCAATCGATGGTTGTCAAGGTGCAGAAAAGGCAAAATGTTTGTGCTGAAAAGAAATTGAATGGTCGCCGTTGCCTTTTAACAGACTCAGACGCTCGACTTTTGATGTCTGAAATGAGAAAAAATTGACTTTTAACGCCAAAAGAAGCTTCTACAGAGACAAATAAAGGCGTGAGTCGATGGACAGCTAGAAGAGCGCTTGGTAGAATTTGGTACATCGCAGCAATGAAAAAAAAACAAACCAGCTTTAGATGAGAAAAATGTTAAGGCTCGGCTAAAATTAGCCAAGGAACAGAAGAACTGGACAATAGAAGACTGGAAACTTGTTAACTGGTCGGAAGAATTTAAGTTTAAACGTTTTCAATCGGATGGAAAGCAATACTCTTGGTGGAGACAGAGCAGGAAATCAATTTTCACCTAGATGGGGATCTTAAGCACATTGCGAAATGTGTTAATGAATGGCTCGGAAACCAAAAGTTTAAGTTGATGGCATTGCCAGCGCAAAGTCCCGACCTCAATCCGATTGAAAACCTATGGTCAATCGTGAAGCGACGGCTCGGACGGTATCAATCGGTCCCATCCAACTAGGACGATCTTTAGGGGCGTGTTGAACAATAGTGGAATTTCGGAATATTCATAAAAACTAGTTGAAAGTATACCAAAACGTATAAAAAATGTCAGACCAAATATTAATATCGCATTTATTTTGTATTTTTTCTTAAGTGTAATGACCTAAAAAAAAAGATGATTTTTGAGCATTTTTACTAAAAAAAAATATTTTATCAATTATTTCAAAATTTTATGTATATACTCATACATGTTTCAAGAATATACAGTGAAATTTTTGAAGAAAAAAATTTAATATTTTTTAGGTTATAGTCGATCTTCAAACGGCGCGAAAAAAGGTCCTTCACTGCTGCAGTGCTTCCGCCTTCTCCGTGGATGAAATCTAAAAAAAAAGTTCTCTACTAGGTAATATTGTCTGTACAATGACCTACGGTGAAAAAAATGTGCTCCCAAGTATGAAAACGTTGATCGTGGAATCACTTTTGCTCCCCACTGTATGTATAGGAATTCTTCCTTCTCAAATACAATCACTCCCACTCGTAATAAAAAGTTCGTGTTTCGTTTTAACAAACAATTAAATTGCACTTTATTTTATATATGTATGTATTGCTTAAACTAAAAAAAGTGCTGTTATTTCTACAAATATTAAATTGTTATAAAATATGGTGCTCGCTAATCATATGACTGCCGCGCAAAACATTGCGAGTCTAAACTAACGCAGAGAGCAAAACGGATATTATAATTAAACAACAAATACATATAATATGTATATGTATATACAGTGGTGGTCATATAATTCGAAGCTCCATTACATAAACTAAATATTATGATTAATACAACGCTCTATACTTTCTAAGTAATTTTCTTATGCACTGAACTAATCTGTGATGTTTCATTATGGGTTTGAAAATATTTTTGTTCTTTATTCGCAGTTTGTTTTGGAAAAAAAATTCGAAAAATGCGGCACACTTTTTCTTTTAATTACAATGACACAGCATTTTCAAAAAAAAAAAAAAAAAACAAATTAAAAAGCACACACATATGTACATATGTATTTAGCAGCACATCCTAAGGTACAATTGTAAAATTCTTTGATTTCAATAAATCCTGAAATTGCTTAACACCCTTGCCATTCGCTTCCTCATAATAAGGCAATTGTTCCATACGCTTAATCCATGCAACTAAATTGGGATACTTAACCGGATCACTTGCCAAATAGACTTGCAATGAACTTATCGATGATATCAGTGCAAAATCAGCAATGGTCAGATGATCGGCAGCAGTGTATGGATGCTCCTGCAGGAATCTATTTACGGTCTCATAAACTTCAGCAATATAATCGATTTTATATTGTGGCACAGTGGTTTCATTCATGAAGATAATCGGCTTGGTAGTACCTTTTAGTGTACGTTCGAAGACGACACCGGTCTCATAGTATAAGCGTTGATCAACAACCGAACGTTGGTAGAGATCTTTTGGATATAGAGCATCATCTTTACCATATTTGCTGGCCAAATAGGCGATTATTGCATGTGAATCCCAAATTGGCTTGCCATCATCGATCAATGCTGGTACCGTGCCGGTTGGATTGATTTTACGATATTCATCTGCATTTTGTTCGCCGCCGAATAAATTCACCTGTTTGTATTCGTATGGTACATCTAGCGCATTTAAAGCCAGTAGAACAGCACGCACCGGTGGACTGGGATCAATACCGTACAATGTGATTTTACCCATTTTATTAATTATTTTTTAATTTTTTTTGAAATTACTTCTCTCAACGAAGTTCCGCAATATTTTGTACAAACGCGTTGACAAGTTTCGATGTACTGGCAAATTTTATTATACCGGTCTTTATTTATATATGCGGGCGAATCGACTGAGAGAGTGTTTCCGATTTCTCTTTGCTTCAATACAACACTCGCACTCGAGATATATATGTAAGCAGTGTTAGGTGTTAATATACATAAATACAAATCTACATTGTTGACTTCGTAAATACCCTCCAATAAATTTGGGTAGGCCTTATCTTTTGGAAGTGAAGAGGTCCTTCAGAACGATTTTCAAAATGCAAAAACAAACACATACTCTTTCTACTCTTTCAAGAAAAATAAAGCAAATAAACAAATAAAAGCTATTCGTGTACAAGAATGATGTAAATATTTTAGATTATGTGTTGTTATTGTAGGTACGTCATAATTTTGATGTTGCTTTGTCAAGTGCCAATTCGCATACATTGTCAAAGAGAAAAATTTAGCGCACACAATATCTGAAGCCAGCTGACCATTCACTACGCCGTACATAAGTACATATGTAATGACGAAGCACATTTCTCGCTCGGGTGTTAGGTAATTAATAAAGTATATATTATTGGCCTAAAAAAAGGTGATTTTTGAGAATTTTATTAAAAAAATACTTTATTAATTATTTCAAAATATTAAGAAAATATCTATACATGTTTCAAGAATATACAGTGAAATTTTTGAAGAAAAAAATTAAATATTTTTTAAGTTCTAAACGATCTCCAATGGCGCGAAAAAAGGTCTTTCACTGCTGCAGTGATTCCGGCCTTCTCCGTGGATGAAACCTAAAAAAAAAGATTTCTACTGTCTGTACAATGACCTACGGTACAAAAAAAAAAAAAAATTGACAATATGGCGGCGTTTTTAAAAAAATAGTCGAATTTTACCCAAAATTTTGGTCGTTTTTGGACTGCCAAAATTCGATTTTTTGATCAGATCAAAAATCGATAGGTCAATGTACGGATAACTATATATAGAACATTTGAAAAAAATTCGATAGTGATCGGATTATTTATTTTTGAGTAATCACTGCAGCAAATTCGGAAAATGCTGATTCGAGAAAAACGCGTTTAAACATAAAATGATCGTTTTCACTCGTAGCTAGCCGAGCGGCTGCTCTTTAAATTGCTATAACTCAAAAACTATTTGAGATATCGACTTGAAATTTTAATATGTTATTTTTAAAGGTATAAAAAAAGATCGATTTTTTTGAAATTTCATACTAGGTGTGCCCCTTAAGCAAAATTGTCGCTCTTGAAGTTTGAGAATACTCGAATAACGGTAAGCCATTACACAAAAAAAAAAAAACTTCTCATCTGGTGCGCTCTTTTTACCCGGAGGTTTAAACCCATTCGGAGCTCTATGGTCGTATGATAACCGACTTTTTTTGGTCTGTTTTTGAAGAACTCGACTACGACAATATATAGTTTCATCAGACGCCACACCGAACGAACAAATATGGATTTATTATATATATATAATATATATTTGGCGCTTTGCAACCACTGAAGCGATTTTCGGCCAAGCTTCTCCTCTTATCTTTTGAATGCGTCTTGATGTTTATCCAATAAATGGAGGGACTTACAGTCTATATTAAACCGCCCCCGAACGGCTGATTGTTTTTTTATGAGGAGCCTTTTGAATGAGGGCAAGACTAAAAATCTCCTGTCATTAAACAAACTGTCATAACAGATAATTTCTTCTATCTAGAGAACAGCATTAACCCCAATAATAACGTCCGCCTTGAAATCCAACACAGAATCACTAAGTAAAGTCCTCTCTTGGCGAAAGAAAACCAAACTACGTCCTGTTATATAGCGCAGAAACATGGACGATGTCAACATCTGTTTAGTCGGCTCTAGGAATGTTGGAGAGAAAAGTTTTACAACCGATTTATGGTCCTTTGCTCTTCGGCAACGGCGAATACCGCAGACGATGTATAAATGAGTTGTACGAACTAAACGATGATATTGACATGGTTCAGCGAATGAAGAGACAACGGCAACGCTGCCTAGGTCATGTCGTCCGAATGGATGGAAGTACTCCAGCTTTGAAAGTATTCGATGCAGTACCAGCCGTTGAAAGGATGAGGTGGAGAGTGGCTTCTGGCTTCACTTTGTATTTCCAAGAAGAGAGCAATGGCGTGCTAATATTGATTAGGCCAATAATCACGTGCCAACGCCAATAAAGAAGAATAAGAATAAAAAGTATAGGGATTTGGAGAGCACATGAAAATAGTACACGTATGTATGTACTGATCTCCTACATGTAAACACAACATTTATTCAAAATTATATAATCAGCACCTGCAATTATCAGTCGTACATACATACTTATGTACGTATGTGTATAAAAGCGCCATGAGAGATGCAATACAGAATTTCCTACTAGGCTATTGTCAATGATGACTTGCTAAAATATAATATTTACATACATACATATAAATATATGCACACATGAGGAGCTTATTAAGTTATTGCAATAACGTAAATAACAAGAAAGCAGATAGAAGACACAGAAGGAAATAGTATTATAATATTTTGAGATATAAATATATATACAGACATATGTTTAGATAAAATATTTTTATATATAGAATATTAAACAATATTACAGTTCGAGAATCCATACATACATATACATAAATACGTATATACATATCATGCATAAACATGTAACCGCAGTTATTCAAACAAATTTCAGAGACTAATTATGAGAATTCCACAAAATATTAAGAGAGCACACACATAACTTGCTGAGAGAGATCGAAAAGTTGCTAAGCAGGCGACATACGCCTACAAAGCATATAAACTCCTACATAGTCCCAGTAGTTCTCTAAATAGTTTCACTAATCACTGCAATACTGGTTAGAATATCTTTTCTGTTACACCAGAAGCAAATTATGTAAATATATTATATTTGGTGCGGCCATAATTTTGCCGAGGGGATTAACAAAAGTTGAGCCAGTTGGTTACTTTTAATTTGTTTTTTTTTTTTTTTTTTTTTTNCGACAAGCTCGGCCATTTTGAATGTTCACTTAATTGTTGACAGCTGCTTTGCTTGCACGTGTTTTGGATGGTCTTCGATTTTTACCTATTCAAAAAAGTGGATCAAAGAACCTGTATCAAATTTTGTGTGAAAAACGAAATTAAATGCGCGAATGCATTCCGAATGTTGACTGTGGCATACGGAGAAGCTACCTTGGACCGAAGCAACGTTTATCGGTGGTACAAATGTTCTCAGAAGGACGAGAAGATGTGATCGACGAAGAGCGTGCCGGACGCCAGAAGCGGCCGGATTTGTAGAAGAATAAAAATTGGCTTTTGCACCACTATAATGCCTCTGCTCACACATTGTTGCGACTTTTTGGCCAAAAACAACACACTAATGATGCCGCAGCCATCCTATTCCCCAGATCTGGCCCCCTGTTGTTACCTAAACTGAAGAGGCCCATGAAAGGACGACGTTACGCTACGATTTACGAGATAAGGACGGCATCGAAGGAGGAGCTGAACAAGATAAAAAAATTATTTTTTGAAGTGCTTCGAAGCTTGGAAAAGCCTTTGGCACAAGTGTATAATATCTCATGGGGACTACTTTGAAGGGGACAAAATAGATTTCATGAATAAATAAATAATTTTTGAAAAAAAAACAAAAAATTCGCGATACTTTTTGAACACACCTGGTATAGGCTTAGGAAATGCTTTAAAATCAATGGCAATTATGTAGAGAAGATAAACATCTTTCATATGAAAATATGTAAAAAAAAAACATTTTATACATACAAAAAATCGTAAAAACTCAATTTAAATTTTTTTTAATTTTTCGTATGAAGAAATAAAATCGTAAAAAAATATTTTAATATGTATTTGAGGTAATTTTCGAAAACACTTTTTGGCACATAATGGGCGGTGCCGCTGCCATAACTTGACGAATGCTGGTTTTCTAGATTTATCAGCATAACCACAGACTAGAGATTACGGAGCTGAGAAATTTCTCCCGCGATAAAGCCATATTCGCTCGTGTTATATAGAATGTGGCACCATCTTGTTAAAAAACACATCTTATCCAAGTCGCACTCTTCAATCACAGACCAAAGAAAGTCGGTTATCATACGACACAGTCTCGCCGCTGTCGCTTGCAAAGAAGTAAAGTCCAAACACACCTGCGGTCCAAAGAGCGCACCAGACAGTAAATTTTTATGTTTTGTGTTGTGGCCTCTCTACAGCTATTTGAAAATTCTCGGTACCCCGGTAAGAAAGTCGCAAACTTCTTGAGAACGGCGTGAAATATACACATTCAAGTCTTCTTCGGCTGCAATAGCACCTACAGTAGCGATATTTGTTGAAAGAGCAAAACGATGATGCACAGAGGCCTTACAATATCTGTAACTGATCAAGTCTCTTCAAATTTCTTTAAAATTTTCACAACTGTTTTCATAAATGCTTGGATCTTAACTACAACAAAATAAGTTTTGTTTGACATTTGAATTTTACAGATTTGAAAATGAATTTGAAATTACGTAATGGATAACCCTATACTTTCGCATCGATGTATACCTCATTTCCTACCCCTCAAAATTAAAATTTTCTCGTTAAACGTGGTTTGAAACTAACTTGAATGTATGTCAAATTCAATACAAACAGAATTATTAAAATTGGAGCACCCTGTAAAGGTTATGCGTGTTTATATGCTGACAAGCAAATCTGTAGCTGTTTAGTGTAAGAGGCAAGTGTAACCACGACCTTACACGGTCGGTCTCGAGGTCAGAGCAGTTCAGACTGCCACTGGTTTTCGGTCATCGGTCTATTGGATTTTTCGAATATCCTTCAGGGTAAAATACTGGTTAAAAACATGCGACGAATTGAGAACCTTCGTTTTCGTCAATTAAAAACATCAAATCTTTTATCAAGAAAGAAGAATAACTTTAACCCATGTTGAGATGATTAAAAAACGGTTTCTTCTGCGGAAAGAAATATAAAAAAAAATGTTTAATAACTTTTTCAGGTGCCTTAGCGGACCTACTGTAAAATTTGAATTCAATACCAACACGAAATATTCTGAAACATTTTAACATATTTCTGTACAATATTGCAAATACACTTGCTTACGAAAACTTAGAAGCAAAATATTTGAATTTGAAAATATTTAGTGCACTTTTAGGCGCAACACACTTAATTTAGGAATATTTGTAAAATCGCTATAATTTACTACATTTTTAAGTAATTTTTTTCGTAACTTTAAACAAACGACAACCCTGTCGAAAGCTTAAAAAAAGCTTTCTCTTCGCTATTTACTACACTTTCTCCAAACAGTGAGAGGAAATTACTGCTGACGCAGGATGCCGGGATAAAAATCTACGCAAATAAATATAAATGCACGCACTAAAAGAAAAAAACAAAAATGAAATAAAAAAAAACAATAAACTTAACAGTGTTGTTGAAATAAACGAACGAACTTGCTCTCACGCGAGTAGTTTTCCACTTTGGTCCCAACGTCTCACGCGTTATGCGTAAGAATGTGGTAGAAAGGTTGCCAAAATAACATGACACCAGTTACACTGCATCACGCGGGATGTTAGAAAGCAGAATGATAATGAATAAATTTGGCTTTAATTTTGAAATATTTGCAGTATACAAAATTACTTTGGAAGCGGAACTTAAACTAAAAATGAAAAAGTAAGAGAGAAGAGAGGTTGATCAGCTCAATTTAAGCAATAATAAATAACACCGACTCAAAGGGTAGGTATACCAATTGTCCAACGTCAGCTTAGAATTTCCTTGCTTGACCACAACAATGAGCAACTGCCAGAAATGGTTAGTGAAAGGCTCAACAACAGCAATGCCACTAATGTTAAAACACAGCAGCAGCAGGCGCTGTAAGCCATTAACGTCAACAGAGAAAAAGTATAAAAAGTGTATGCCGCCCAGCATCAGTTGAGTTTAACATCTACATGAGAGTGTATAATGTGCTTTCTTCCTCGTTGCTGCTCTCTCACGCGAAGCAAGGCATTTAGTGCTTTTTGGGGCTTGGCAGCCTAAAAGCGGGACAAATTCGGCTCAAAGGTTGTACATATAAAGCAAATGATTTATGTACATTGCTTAGGATGAGCATGTAACTCATAACGACGCGTATATATAAATTTAAATATTAGTTAAAACTTAAATTATCACTTAAAGTGAATATAATTACGGGTAAAAAGGAATTAATAGTAATTTAAATTAATTAAATCGCAAATTTGTTTAACAAAAGTGAGTGAAAATAAGAGTTTGTTAATACTGAAATTAAATTGTATGAAGTATGTACATAACATACATACATATACATACATCTATATATATAGTATTTAAGGTGGCATTCCAAAGTGATTTTATTTTTTTTTTCTTTGTTTTTTTTTTTGTGTTTTTTTGGTAAACAACAGTGAATTTCAAAACTAATAATAAGCACTCCAACAATTACAGAGTTTAAATAGATGTAATTAATTTTGCTATGTGTGTGTGGGTGTGTTTGTGGTGTATGTAATAGTTTATACTAACTTTTCTAGGTTTGTGTGTATATGCCTATGATCTCATTAATGCAATATATGTCACTGTCTCCAAGACGGGCTGCCCTATATCCACAAACACTTACTTATTTTTACATATGCACATACATATTCATACAGAATGCACATCCATATGTACATACATATGTATTAATAAATGTAATGCCAAGTGATTTGCTGCGTTGTGTATGCGATTTCCAAAGTGTATTTGACCTAACTTTAGTGTTAACAAACAAATGCTTGTGTTTGCTTGATACTTGACATCCGTTGATGTTAAGTTCAACCATATATGTATGAATGCAAGTAAATAGAAAATATATACATACACGTATGTACATATACTCATAGTGCCGTAGCTGCACTTGCTATCGATTTAGATGGCGCTTTAAGTGATGCATATATATGTAATTATGGATAATATGTGAGAAGCTCATAAACTTGGTATTATAAACAATTTCAAGTCCTTAACATATCCTGTCAATGTACGTCTATGTGCCGTAACTTATTATGTTTATTATAACCACGTAGTGTAGGTAGTGATTTTAATTATGAAAAACTTTGAAAATGACAAGTGGTCCAAAAGTAAGTAGTATTTAGGTAGTTGAAATATGTATGAACAAATTTTTGTTTGGTATAAAAAACGTGTTTTTTTATATAAAAGATAATTATGATGTAGTTGAAGTGAAATGAAAAACAAAAAATAACAATTTTTTAAATTATGTATTTAGGTAGTTGAAATATGTATGAACAAATTTTTGTTTGGTATAAAAAACGTGTTTTTTTTATATAAAAGATAATTATGATGTAGTTAAAGTGAAATGAAAAACAAACAATAACAATTTTTTAAATTATGAAAAACTTTGAAAATGACCACTGGTCCAAAAGTAACTAGTATTTAAGTAGTTGAAATATGTATGAACAAATTTTTATTTGGTATATATGGTGTTTTTTTTTATATAAATGATAATTACGATGTAGTTGAAGTGAAAAAAAAACATTTCGTCCAAGTCTTCTCTGGAGCTACATATTAGAGCTCAAGATTTTTTTTCAAACATTTTCGAACTGCACGAGCATTTGAGCAACGAGTACTCTCACCACATTCGTTCATTGCTCATTGCTTATTGCTCGAAAACTTTCGCGCTTGAGCTTGAGCTGTTCGTGCATTTTGAATAAAAAATTCGACTTTTTTCCCAGAGCTTTCTTTTATAATTTTAATTTTATTTATGCAAAGTGTTAAACTCATGAAAATACTAAAAATGATGATTTGAACTTCAGATCACTCGATGGCCTCAGCTTTATCTACAGGCATTGAATCTTACGCTAAACCAATTTACATTTCCATAAAATGTTTAGACATTATTTTCATTACTACTACATGAACTTAACTACCAGCTTCTAACTGTGCACTCAAAGAGATAACATCATCACAGGAGGGAAACTTTTGGTCCGAACCGCTCGAAACAGCTGGTTGCCTGAACCTCCTGCTGGATGATCTCAATGACTTAAGACTGATTTTGTCTTCTCCCAAGCGCGTTTAGACTAGCCGCTACAACAACAACAACAACAACAAAAGATGACATCATAAAAACCCCTGGGGATGAGGGGTCTAAAAAATAACCGCCTGCCATAAGAGGCGATTAATATCCGAAACGTTCCGGATCTTTATCTGGCCAAGGGCTGTCACTCCCGCAATATTCCACCGAAAACCATTTTGGAGAATATTTTTGCAGTTACTAAAACAACAACAACAACACATTTGAGAATTTAGTTTCAAAAAGTGAATATTTCAAGACCTTTGTATTTTACCATTGGGAAGCTACGTCAACATATTTATATCTAACGATGTACTACTATGTAACAAATCTTTGCAGCAGCTTTTATGCTTATAGTATATACATACATATATAGTTCTATAAAAATACATACATTACATCGATATGTACATACTTATAAAAGCCTATTTTATATCCAAAGTGCATGTTGTCACATAAAATCAGAAAAGTGTGCGTGGCTATGCATTACGGGAAACAAAGACATTTTCTCAACAAGTCAACTTAAGTACTTGTGTTTTTGAAAGGCAATGTGAGCTGACATACACAGACGTATTTATGTATGTATGTATGCATGTATGATATGAGCTTATGTCGGCAAAGCCTTTTTAAATATTTCCACATCCCACCTCCGTACACAATAAGGGCGTAGGCGGTGTTAGGGCGAGGATGAACAAAGGGGTAATTGAAAAGGAAAGTAGATAGTGTAGAAAAATGAAAATGAGAATTGTTTTTTGCATCTGTTGGCGTTCAATTAGAAAGAATGTAATTAAAATTTTGAATGTGTATAAGAAAAAAGAAAGTATTGTCATTTAAGGATTTTCTTTTTTTTCTTGTTTTAAGGTAATATTTTTTTATTTATTTATTTTTTTTTGAGACATAAATTTTTTTCTGTATCTGTTGACGCTCAATTAGATAAAATGTAATTAAAATTTTGAATGTGTATAAGAAAAAAGAAAGTATTGTCATTTAAGGATTTTCTTTTTTTTCTTGTTTTAAGGTAATATTTTTTTATTTATTTATTTTTTTTTGAGACATAAATTTTTTTCTGTATCTGTTGACGCTCAATTAGATAAAATGTAATTAAAATTTTGAATTCATAAAAGAAAAAAGAGAGTATTGATATTCTAAGGTTTTTCTCATCAAATTTTTTTCTTTTTTTAGGTTAATATTTTTTTTATTTATATATTTTTTTTTTTGAGATATTAATTTCTTTCCTATATCTGTTGGAATGTAAGTATTGGTACTCTAAGAATTTTCTTATTCAATTTTTTTTTCTTTTTTAATATCAGGTGTACAACTTTGCTTCCGCCGTTTTTTTCCAAAACTAAAAGCTTTATTGCGAAAAAGTGCTTACAGATATATTATTAAAAATATTGTCCTTCGCTAGCGACAACTCTCTTCCATCTTTCCGGCAATTTTCGGAAAAAAGAGTCCTCTTTTGCCACTATCCATGAAGCAATCCATTTTCCAATTATTCGAAGGATTGAAAATGTTGATCTGCCAGACCGTGTGCCATCGAACGGAATAGGTGGAAGTCAGAAGGGGCGACATCTGGGTAATACGGCGGGTGGGATAAGACCTCCCATTTCAGCGTTTCCAGGTACTTTTTGACCACTTTTGCGACGTGAGGCCGTGCATTGCCGTCTTGGAGGATGACTTTGTCATGTCGCTCTTGATATTGTGGCCGCGTTTCTTTTAGCGCGCGACTAAGGCGCATCAGTTGCGTTCGGTAGCGATCTCCTGTGATGTTTTCAACCGAATCTTCATCAAGCAATGCTTCTAGTTGTTCATCTTTGAAGATTTTTTCTCTTCCACCACCATAAAGACATCGAAATCACCATTTTTCAAACGTTGAAATCATTCCCGACACGTTCTTTCACTCAGAGCAGCTTCACCGTAAGTTTCTGAGAGCATTCGATGCGCTTCAGCTGCATTTTTTTTTTCGAATTGTAACAGAAAAGTAAAACTTCCCGCAAATGGCGAGAATTAGGCACATAAACGGACATTTTCGAGCGTGAATAATACGAAAACAAGAACAACTGTCACTGAAACGGCGATGACAATTCGTTAGACACTGTCCACAATCACTTTTAAAGGCATTATCATCTATGTATTTCAACCAGCCACAGCCGGTACAGTCACCTATCGGAAAACGGCGGAAGCAAAGTTGTACACCCGATACTTTTTTGTTTTTATTTTATTTTATTTCATTTTTTTTCTTTTTCAGACTTCATCAACGTTTGGATTACTTGTTTCAATTACAATTAACTAGAGTCTTCCCCCAAATAATTCACTTAGGCACAGGAATGTACTATTTTCGTTTAAACTTTAATATTTTATGTGTAAAAACCGTATAAAATTTGTTTACATAATAATATAATTGTATTTGTATATTTATAAAAAAAAAAAAAAGAATACTAGTCGAAAAGCCAAATGTACCAACTGACTGACTCACTGACTGTGACCGACTGACTTTTGACTATCGTTGGACCTTACCTTCAGTAGCTAATTAAGCAAATCCTCGCCATAAATTTGTATCATTGCAATATTACTCTCTAGTGGAAAGTCAAGCGTGTTTAAATCACATCCATTCAGGTAAACTGCACCTAAATATGCTGTGTCCTTTGCTTCGTTACCTCGCCGATACAACACACCGATATCCTTCACTTGTATGGCGCCATCGAATGCCACAACATAATAGCGTACATGCCAACCATTTGGTATATTTTCTGAAAGCGCAAGTTCTTTTGGTATTTTTGGTGTATCCAATTTATTGCTGCTCAAGAGATGATTGTATTTGGACTTTAATGGTGACACATAGCAGCGCCCCTTTTGGAAGTTTGATGTGTCATAATAATCACCCATGAATAGATAGCAATCACGTGCATTATTTCTAGTACAAAAACGTAATATACAATCGAATTCGCCATCATTTGGTAGTAATTTATAAGCGTAAGCGAAAATTAAGCCGCCAGTTTGTATTTTCAAATCGGTAACAAATATACGAAAGCTATTATTGTACTGTAATATGCGCAAACATGAACCGCCATTAAAGCCATCGGCATAGAAACGTTCAGCGAGCTGATAGAGCGGCACTGACGGTTGCAGTGCACAACGTGATAAATTAAAAAATTGTTCACCATCACCACCACCACTGCCGGTGGTGCTAATCTTTGCGCGTCCATGTACGTAGGTATTTTTTCCGGAGCCCAAACAAAAATCGGAATAAAATGGTAAAACGTTGTATGGGTGTGTTGCCAAATGCTCCCATAATGAACACCAAAATTTCTCATTACGTCGCAAAAATGCATCATTCACACTGTCATCACCCAAGGGTTGTTTTATATTATAACCAAACATTTGTAATGTTTCATATGTCCAAGCTGGTGCGAAAAATCCAGTCGAAAAGCGTTGACTCACAATGCGTGCCAAAGTTTGTTTACTCTGAAATTTGGCAACTTGACCGCGACCGAAAATGTCGATGCCAAAAAATGCACGCTGACATTGAGATTGTGAACGTTCGCAAATTTCCGTTGTCATTTCGAGGCTTTTGTCATTCCAACTATAATTGATAAGCATGCCATCGGCGGCACGAAAAAAACGCACATTCTTTGAATTAATCTCATTTTGCCATCTCAAATCGCCTGTATCTATGATGCTGTCATACCAGAATACCACACCATGTTCAACTTCTCTTTCGACGCCGGCACGTAAACGTTCTACGAGGTAGCTGAAATCATACACGTACATATATACGGGTTTCATTTTTATTACATAACTATATAGCACTCACTAAAGATTTTCCATATTCTCCAGTTTAACCTTACATTCAACATTGATCAGCCAGCCTTCGAAACAATAATGTTTGCATAGCTTTATCATAGCGTCTACAATTTTATCTACCATTTCCCCTGACTGCAGCACTTCATCCAGTAATTTTGAATGTCCGCTTTCCGTTATAAATGTGCCTGTTTAAATGTATAACAATTACACTTTATAATTGATTTTCGGCCAAGGTCAAGGATTAAAAAAAACAATAAAAATGCTTTATTAAAGCAACGAGTTTGTAGTAACTCACCATTGCGGGTGAGAAGCTCAAAAACTTTCCTGCGATAAGGCATGACTGTCATGAACCGCTACAACAACAAAAACACAAACAACTGTCGTAAGAGGCCACTAAAATCGTATGTGGCGCGCGAGAGTCGGATCTTTAACTAGCTAAGGACTGTCACTCCCGCAATATTTCGCGAAACCCATCGTGTACAAATTTTACGGCTACTACAACAACAATATGTAGTAACAACTTTTTTCCGTTTTTTTAAAAGTTGATTTAAATTCAAAACAGCAATATAAATACTAAATCAACATTATTCTTTTGACCTGCTTTTTGCTCGCTGCGGGGCAGTTGTTCCGGCGTCAGCCTGTTCTTTATACTGAAACGACCCGGATTTTTTTGACTAGCCAAAGCCTGTCACTGCCACCACAATATTTTTTCCATTGCAATGACAACAATCTTATTAACGTGCTCAAATTCAAACACCAAAAAAAAAAACTATTTACCCAGTACTCGTACTCCATGTTTGTGCGCTGCATTTAACCAACCACACGGTGGTATTGTAATATAATTGTGACTAAAGTAGCAGAAGTAATCGATACCGGCCCAATGGTAGAAACGGTAGTCATCATACTTCTTAGACGAATGGTAGTGTCTAAAAAAAACAAAAAAAAATAAACAAAAATCATTTAAAATACAAAAGATTAATTTTAAAAAATAGAACAAATTTGCTTACCGATCTTCGAGGTAATTTCCCATCATATCATGACAAACTAGAACTTCACGTCTATTGTGATTTCCAATTGGTTCTCTATAATTGCTCATCAATTGGAATTGCCTTTGTAAATAAACGGGCGGATTGCGAGGCGTTAACGGTGCTACATATTTTTGCCATTTTATGTCTTTACTACGCAACTCAAAGGATAATAGCTGTTCGTTGGAATGTATCGCCTCTGCTTCCAGTTGATCTTCAAGTGTTGAAAAAGACATGTTTTTTTTTTAAATATATGTATGTATATATTATATATATATATATATATATGAAAAAAATTTCAATTAGTACACACAAGAAATAAACTTCCTAATGCCCTCAATGCTTTTCATCAAATGCAAATATTAAAAGACGATAAACGCCAATGATCCTAATATGCAAAGCATTGTTTATCGGTAGCTTTTAGATGCATATTTCTACATACATACATATGTATGTGTTAAAGTATGCGTTTAACTTGAGAAGTGCAACTAGAATTTTAAGATTTCGCTATGTTCGTTTGATTGATTTGTTATGCCTATATGTATATACAATACAAGTATATATACATATATATATATATATATATATATATATATATATATATATAAACATACATATGTGCGTGCATGCGATTTAACATTGTAGCCGAATGAAAAGCTCAACCTTATCACTAGATTTGGAGTTACATTGTATACATGTATGTACGTATCACACAATAAATACAAAAATACAAAATTGAAAATGATTCACATTCACATTTCAAAGAGATGAAACGTGTGAAATTAAATAGACGATATTTAACTGATAAAAAGAGAGTAGATTTTAATTAGATACTGCTTTTATTTCTGCGGGTAGGAGTTCAAGAAGACTTCCAGTCGGGTCTTTATACCGACCAGGGCAGTCACTCCCGCAATATTCCCCGTAAATTATTTTTCTCTGAACCCTTGCGTTTAATGAATTGCTCAAAAATAAAGAAGAGGGAACTGCCATGCTTACAGCCTATGCGGACGACATCTCAGTCATAGTGGGCCATAAGTGTTTGGCAACACTCGAATCTCTGGCGAAACAGAAACATAAACAACTGGGCTATTTCAGCAGAACTCAAGGTTAATACTAATAATACCGATAGGGTCCTATTCACAAGGAAATATACAAGGCAAAGCTAGGATAGGCTGAAAACTAGCAGTAAGTATCTGGGAATTGTGTTGGACAGCACTTTGTCCTGGAGACTCAAGGCGGAAGGGTAAAAGAATGTTGGGCTACACTTGGTGCCTCTCCCCGCTATCTCTCACCGGATCTTGGCTGCGATTGTTAAGCCAATACTTTTTACGTAGCTTTAATAGAAATAGGCTAAAAATAGTGTTCAGAACTTCAATGATCAGTATCACTGGGGCACTCAAAATAACACCATATGAAGCATTACATGCGATTTTGTGTATTCTACCAGTAAGTCTGGTAGCTAAAAATAGAGCAATCCTTACTGGCGGCAGAATTACTGCTTTCAAAAGAGAACACAGCTATGCGGATAGGCAAAAGGAAGTTAGCTGTGGTCACACTATGTAAATAAGTGATTCAAGTACTGATTGAAAACAGAAGAGTCTACATTGGCTAAGATCCCTGCTATTTAGTATAGGACATAGTAACGAGCTATACAGTTTTGTCAGGCGAATAAGTTCGCTAAGAGCTGCTGAATCGTGAAAACTATATGTAAGACGTTTGAAACTAAACTTACAAAGTTTGTACTATCTGTAAAGAGGCCGGCTTCCAGGCTGCTGATAGAACTATTCAGGGAAGACTGCATTTTGGCATCGCATGCATTTATATACATATGTATATCTGACTAGGAACAAAAAGTGGAAGAAATTTAAAAAAATGTGTGGAGACAGACATAACAACAATGTTTTTTTTTTACAAATTATAAGAAAACTGTTAATAAATTTATGTCAAAAATAAAAGGCTTAGAAGCAGGAGTGAATTTAAAAGAGGTTTGATTTTTATGCCTTTTTCTCACGAGTTTTTTTTAAATAAAATTTACTTGGTACACCTAGAGAAAAGTGTGAAAATTTAATATTTTTGTTAATGGGAGAAAGGTTTTTAAATAAAGAATTGTGAAAAAGAGCTTATATAAAAAAAATCAGCTAAAAATTGCCATTTTTAGTCGATTTGGAATTAATTATTGGTATCAAATGGGCATGAAGTTGTAAAAAAACCGGTAACTAGCACATTTACACTATATACATATGTATTTTACGGCTACACAATTTTGTTATTAATTCAACCTTCTTGAAGACAGTTTCACTTGTAATTATACATTAAATATTTTAGGAGAAAAAAAATTAATTAAAATTAACTACCAGTAGAGTTTTTTTTATCAAAACACAAACCCTTAGCAGTATTATTCAAACTAGTTGTTTGTGTAATTTGAAATTACGCGCGAAACTTATATGTATATAAACCGTTTAAGCTTATACAAGTGTGTTGCTTCCGAATATTTGTTCGTTCCGTATAATTTCTTAGCCGAACGAACAAATTTTCATTCGTCGAATTGTTTTTTATATTCATACAAACAAACTGGCATGTTTATGCACTTATGCAAATGTATGTATGCACACATGTATTAAAACGCCGCTGCAACATGCACAAGGCAAGTAAACTACTAATAGCTATTAATTAGCAAACACACTTTCAATTAAAACCGAAATACCAAGCGCTTAATTGATTAAGCTACATTATATATAACATTTGCTTGTGATTTTTTGCGGCAAAGATAACGAAAGACACTCACTGCAGCATTCCTCGTTGCCATCGCACATTTTCACTTCACCTGCTAGCATTTAGTCGTTTTCACTAGTTACTAACTCTCATTTACACACTAACAATAAATGCAGTTTCTATGCGAATTCTATATAACGTAAAATAAACACAACTAATAAAAATAAAACTAGTATAACTTTTCTAACAACACGATGAATTCTAAAATTTTCAAACTAATTGGAAGGAAAATAATCATCAGCTGATTGTTGAGCGGAGATGTGAATATTGTTGAGTTGCCATTTTCTGCCGAAGGTATCGTTGAAAATCGATAAAAATATAAGTTGGAATTATCGTTGTTGCGATTTGTCTGAAACAAATTACCGTTAAGTTAAAATAGAGAATGTAGAATAATATGTGTACGTTCTCTGCTTGAAATGTCAATTAAAAGAAAAAATCTTTAAAAAAATTCACTGTAAAACTTTAATTTGATTTCACATTATTTAAATATTTACAGTTAATTTAATTAGAAGTCGTATTGAATTACAAAAGAAATGGTGAAATAAAAATAGGAATCTTTAGTTTTTGTATAAAATATTTAATTACATATTCGTCTGCCTTGATGTCAACGCCGTCAAAATGAATCCCTGCCACAGGTTAGGCACTTGTGCCAGCGCTTCCTCCAACCCCGAAAACCTTTCTTTAACTCGTTCTTTGAGATAGCCTTTAGCTTATCTAGGACTTTAAAACAACTGGTAGTTGTCTCAGGTAGTCCTGCTTCGTCCTGAACTTCTTTTAGTGTCTCCCGAGGAGCGTCCATTCGCTGCTGGTTCTGTTCAAAATTCTATAATTTGGAATGAGTAAAAAAAAAAACTTTTAAATGTGCCATGATAAATGAGATATGCCAAAATCATCAGTGACTTTTCTTTTTGTGGTTTGTTGATTTGCTGGAGCGGGCAGTATGTCCATCAATGTTGTGAAGAACTACTTGAAAACGCTTACATCACTCGGAAACTCTTGTCTAACCCATTGCAGACTTATTATTTTGTTAACATTTCACACACTTTGTAAATTTTTTAACAACCGATAATCGCCATTTCGCAAAACCAAATCTGACCTGACATAGGCAGAGTCAACAATGAAAACAGCTGAAAATTGTATTATTCATTGGCATGTACGAGTATATCAAAATAGTAAACTGCCTCCGACTTCCAACTTTATATTTATTGATTTAATCTTGCAGAAATTTGTTAAAAAAAGTGATTTTAGAATTTTTTCATATAACCGATTTCTTTGAAAATGAGATTTAGGTTGAAAAATCCGTCGAAAAAATGTTCCTAAAAGCGTGAAATTCGGTTTTATACATTTGTACCTACAAATAAACGTTGACACTGAAAATCAACTACAATATATCGGGTGTCAATATCATATATCCCCCATACAGCTGATTCGTTCAGATAAAAGGTTTTGGTTCCAAAATCCGTCAAAAAAAGCATCTAAGCGCATGAAATTCGTTATCCTACACAAGAATATTCACAGAAACTTTGACACTGAAAATCATGGAAATTGGATGTCTATATCATATAGCCCCCATACAACCGACTGACTTGTTCAGGTAAGAGGTTTTGGTTAAAAAAAAAACACAAAAAAAGTGCACCCTAATATACATGCAAGTAAACGCATTCACCGAAAATCATCGAAATCGGGTCATACGTGTAAATCCCCAATACAACCGATTTTTTCAAGTATAGGAATCGATATTTAATCCTCAAAACAATAAAGGTTGAAAGATTGAAGACATCTTTTTTTACGTGCTTTTTTGTCATTAAAATTAAGTGAGGTTTGTATATTTTTTTTCTTCCTTTATTGTGGCCTTCTAACTCTACAAGGCAATGGACGTAATTTAATGATGCTCAAAGGGATAAAAGTGGGATTGTCGGTACTTTTACTTATAGCTACATACACATATAAAATAATACATACTTTAAATATACTCTAATATGTAAATTTTTATATTTAAATTCTCTCTTTTTCTTTATTTCCAGTGCGAAAACTATGGTAATTACAACAAAAAAAGGCCTAATTTAATCTACAATCTGCCGCTTTGCAATATTATACAAAAATATCCTCCTTTAAACAGAGCATTTATAGTTCTAAAAAAAAACAAGCAAAGACACAAACACTACTATATAAAAAAAATCTTAATATATATTTAGTATTCAGTCAAAATTAAAAATCATTACTCAAAGCGCATACATATAGATTCAACAAAATGCCCGCAGGTCGAGTAGCCGGTAAAGCTGGCTATTCCAATCATTACTACAATGGTAAGATATATACACATGCATACTCGTACATACATACGTGTATGTATATTTTGGAAATATATTAAATTAAATTTAATTTTCAAAATTTTCCTTTTTACGCTTTAAACCCGATTTCGCTTAAAAGGACGCTCGTACGTTGGCATCAACGAGGAGATTATGTGGGTTAGCATAGGCATGGGCGTAACCATTGCTATACTCATAACGATTGCATTGTGTTATATTGCACGTGAAAAATGTCAAAAGCGTCAACGTGAATATTATGTAACCGCGTAGTTTATTTGTGATGCCTTCAACACCTCACTTTCGCAACATTTACATTCGTTGGCTTAAATATCGTCAATTGCGTAACCACGATGAAAGTAAATATATGTTCAAAAAAAAAAATAAAATAAAAATAAAAAATAAAAATAAAAAATAAATGAAATGATAAATTCAAATTCAAATTCAACGACATATGTTGTACGCAGAGCGGAAGTAGAAATGTTAAAGCACGGCAGCGCGCTGAAAGGGTGGCGAGAAGCAATATTGCAACGAGTGAAGAAGAAATGCAACGCACAAGGAATACACACATTTCCGTACAGTGAGAAAGAAATTATATAATATATACGAGTATATACATACGAAAATAAATACATTGTTCGCGTACATACATACATATGTAGGTAATCAAATTTGTAATGTATGTATGTACATATGCGTAGTAGTATTTACTACATAGATGTCTTAAAAATGTATTGTTGTGTATTAGAATTAAATATATATAAATATAATATATTATATTACAAATACATGCATATGTACATATGTATATTATGGCGTAATTTAGGTCCTTTATTATACACAATTGACCACCCAAAAGTCCTCTACAAGCCTTTTTTTTATGGAAGTTACCTTATGTATGAAAATTTAAGGTACATATTTTGCTCAATATACATACATACATATTATATTATATGTATGTACTACATACATGCATACATGCGTACTTACATTATTTACTACATATATTGAAATACTTTACGAATTACTTAAAAAAAAAAATAAAATAAAATATAAACAAAAACAAAAACAAAAAAACAGCAAAAACAGCAAAAGTATTTACGCACTTTATTGTTGTTGAATTTTGCAAACGAATACGATATAACCGTTATATTGAATTTGTATTGTTAAAAATTATTACATTTATATTTGTACTCTAAGCAATGGAAACAAAAACAAAAAAAACAAAACGAAAATAAAAAAAAACTACTTAATAACATTACTGACCAAGTTATGTGATGTAAACTTTATGTATGTAAGTTGTATTCATGTATGTATTTATTGAAAATTGTTTACTCGTAAGCTTTAAAAATACTAAAGTATTATTTAAATATACATAAAATGTAATATAATTAGTAAATTTATTAAATAAACAAAAGTAAATAATTGTGTCTTCGTTGTATTTTCAAATAATTTAATATCGAAAAATCATATCGAACATGATATAATAACTTAAAGGTAATTTCATTCTCTCATTGCAATCTGACATTAAACGTGCTCAGTCTTTTTCGTGGTGTATTCTTCTCTTGATAAAAATCCACCACTTTTGAATAAAAATTATTTAGTGTTTTAATATTGTTTAAATGTTTAAATGTCAATAATTATGTATGATATTGTTTTTTCCAAATAATCCTAATAGTGGACGTCATCGGTACGAGGGGATTAACAAAAGTTCGCTCAATTAGTGACTTTCAATATGTTTTTGTTAAATCTAAAAAAACACCAAATCAATTACAATTACTTTATTAGTCTGCTTTTCAAATTTTATAAGGATCGGCTAAAATAGAGACGGGAAAACTCAAGTTAGCTGAAGATAGGTCGGACAAAATTCCACCACCAAAGCAAACAGTAATTCACCATGTGATTCTCTTAGGGTTTCGGCATAATTTACAGCCAATAAAAGTACTCATGGAATACCAAATTGCATATGGAACGATTTCACTGTCTATAAAGTCTATTTCTAAGTGGTTCCGAAGATTTCAGACCGCATATTTTTCTCTAGAGGACAAGCACCGAGAAGATCGACCAAAATCAAGAAATGATTGCTAACGAATTGGGCTTGAATGCCATGGTTGTATATTAAGTAATCATCTGGGATATACGAAGAAATCTGCTCGATGGGTACCACGAACTTTAAATGAGGCTCGAGCACATTTCGCTAAATTTTTCCATCAAAAATTCCAAAATGATCAGTCTAGTAACTTTAGTGAAGTCGTTACTGGTGACGAATCTTAATTCTATAAGTAGCAGATCCAGAAACCAAACAGCTGTCCATAGCAGCAAAAGTAATGAGTGAATTTACTTCACCCGATCTACAATATTTCACTGGAAAAGAGTCAGACGGTAACTGCAAAATGATACACCGAAGAGAGCTTAACTAAAGTTTTAAAAAATTTGTTGGGAAAACAGAAAGAAAAAGGATTTGCGGCGCTACTTTTTACACCTTGAGAACGCGTCATCCCACACTGCTGATATAATGAGTAATCTTATTGCGATCTCTGGGAACGAAGAATTCTCTACATCCAGCAACATATTCCCCGGATACAGCGCCTTGTAATTTCTGGTTATTTTCAAAAAATTAAAAATTCAAATATTTAAAAGGAAAGGTCTGTAATAGCAACGAAGAAGAAGAAGACTGTTTCCTGAAGTGGATCTAAAGGCTTAAGAAATGCATTGAAATCAATGGCGATTATATAGAGAGGATGAAAAGGGACAAAAATTACGAATAAATACAAAAAGATTTTTTTTCTGGTCAACTTACCGAACTTTTGTTAACCCCCTCGTAAATTCCTTTCATGATTTCTGTTGTTCGAAAGTATCAGAAATTGACCCAACAAAATTCAAATTGAATTCAAGAAAATCAGGATATTTGATGGAACTGATATTAGAAAATGAATGGCAACTGCGGCTCAACCAAGATCTTAACCACATAGAGAGATGATACCAAGGAATTTGGGATGAAGGCATGAGGAACGCCTATTGTTGGACTCTAATACGTGAAACAGATTGCACGCAATACAAAGGAGTCAGCTTCGCCTTTATTGATTTGTTACATTGAATTTAATAAAAATCACCTTTAGTTGGGAAAAATTATAACAAAGTCACCTTCGACTATAACACAAACCAGAAGCCATCTTAAAGAGCTGAGTAAAGATTCTGATTTATCGCCACAAATTTACAATAGAAACAAGTTTGTATGTATGTTTATTAATTATTTTTTATACTTCTCCAAAGCGGTCTGAAGAGCTTCCTCAATTTCCTTCAAACCTTTAGCATTGGCCTGCTCGTAGTAGGGCAACTTTTTTAACTTAACTAACCAATCAGTTAGTTTTGGCCAATTTTCTGCATTCACTGGTGCGACCAAATCCATAACTGTCACGGTCGATAGAAAACTCAGATCAGCAATAGTTAAATGTTCACCGGCAATATATCTATTCTGTATGAGGAAAGCCTCAATAACGTTATATACTTCTTTAATAGCTTTTACGGCTGCCTCCGCAGCGTCTCGTGACAACGTACACAAAGCAAAGGGACGTATATGATTCTTTACTACACCGTGGAATATGCCACCATTCTCATAGTGTAACCGTTGATCGACGAGTGCGCGTTGGTAGAGATCCTTCGGATAGAGTGTGTCATCCTTGCCATATTTGCTAGCCAAAAAAGCGATGATGGCATGTGAATCGGCAATGTACTGCCCATCGATCTCCAGTACTGGTATTGTATGCGTGGGATTCTTCTTTAAGTAATCCTGGGCAAATTGTTCGCCTTTTTGTGTGTCCACTGATATCTGTTCGTATTCCAAATTCAAGGCATTCAGCGTGAGTAGAACAGCACGTACCGGTGGACTCCTATCGAAACCATATACAATTATTTTAGTACTCATTTTTATAAATGCTTCATCTATCTTTTTACTTAGCAGTAGAAATGTTGAATTTTCACTGAAAACTTCTACAAAAAATTAGCGTATCTCGTAACTTATATACTCGCAAAAACATATAGATTTTTTAATTCGAGTGCCTCCTCTTGATATCAGCTATCTTATCTGTTAGCTTGATGTGTATACTAAGTAATTTACCATTACTTATCAGATATGTAGCCGCTGAAGTAATTTTCGGCCGAGCTCCTTCTCCAAATTGTGGCCAGCGCCTTGATATTTTTCTAACAAATGGAGAGAGCCACAGTTTATGCTAAGCCGCCTTGAAACGACCTATGGATTTTTGTGAGGATCTTTGATTTTCGTGTCATAAATACACTAAATACTCTGCCGAGGTGCGATCACAATTAGAGAAATTAATTTTCTATTGTTTTGGATGTTGATCGAAACTGGCTTTCCGAACAGCAGTACGCACTGCTAGCCACTCGCCTATTGTGGCCGCCAATAGGTTATTTACAAATTATATAGGCGCAATCTCAAATATATTGTCCTCTGAAGTTGGACAAATAAACCCAAGTTATTTTTTTAGAAGGATGGAGCAAGGTGTAGAAGTTCACGCGAGGGAGGAAAGTTTTTGACTGTCATTCACCTGGTAGCGGCCAGGAACGATTATTTTAAAAATAGTTCAAGCAGCTCTTAACTTTTGGGCTTTTTTGCCCTCGTGTCCTCTGTGTAGTCAACAAACATCAGTTTGGAGGCGAGGTAAAATGAGAGCGTGAATTCCCCTGCAGTGTGCAGTAGCGTAAACGATGTTGACATCCGGTGTCTTAGAGAGAAAAAGTTTTCTCCATATGTAGTTGAGACAGCGGCTACCCTCTCGTAAAAAAAACCATCAGCCGTTCGGAGGCTGCTTAGTATAAACTGTAGGTCCCTCCATTTATTGGAAAAATATCAAGATGCAAAACCACAAATTGAAGGAGGAGCTCAGCCGAAAAATCGCTTCAGTAGCTAAAAGTTTATGTTTGACAGTTTTTCGATTGATTGACTCAGTACGTTGTGAGCGCTCGTCAAAGATGGACACCAGCCAAGATAAAATTCGCTATATTTTAAAATTTTTCTTCGCTAAAGGCGAAAAAACAGCCAAAGCGGCTGAAAAATTAAATTTAGTTTATGGGTTCGATACTGTAAACGAACGTGTAGCATAAAGGTGGTTTGCTAGGTTCCGTTCCGGTAATTTCGATGTTAAAGATGCACCACGCGTCGGCAGGGCTGTCGTAGGAAATTGTGATAAAATCATGAAAATAGTGGAAACAGACCGCCACGTGAGCACTCATTTAATTGCTGAGGAACTGAAGATAAGCCAGAAAACTGTTTGGAACCATTTGCATAACCTTGGATTCAAAAAGAGGTTCGATGTTTGGGTGCCCCACGAACTAACGCAAAAAAATATGATGGACCGAATTTCAACCTACGAATCGCTACAGAATCACAACAAAATCGGCTCGTTACTGAGGTGGATTGTGACTGGCGATGAAAAATGGGTCACTTACGACAACATCGAGCGCAAACGGTCGTGGTCAAAGCTCGGGGAAGCGGCCCAGATGGTGGCCAAAGACCGGATTGACGGCCAGGCTGTGTGTTTGGTGGGATTGGCAAGGAATCATCTACTACGAGCTGCTACCCTATAGGCAAACGCTCAATTCGGCTTTCTACTGCCAACAAAAAGACCGCTTGAAGGCAGCACTCATCCAGAGCCATCTTTGATTAACAGAGGTCGAATTGTGTTCCATCAGAACAACGCCAGGCCACACACGTCTTTGGTGACACGCCAGAAGCTCCAGGAGCTCGGATGGGAGGGGGAGGTCCTAATGCACCCGCCTTATAGTTCGGACCTAGCACCAAGTGATTACCATCTTTTACCGTCCATGGGAACGATCGCTCTTAATGGTGAGAAGTTGGCCTCAAGAGCGGCCTGTGAAAATTGGTTTTTTGAGTTTTTTTGACGCAGCCTTCTACGAGAGGTGTATAATGAAGTGGGCATCTCGTTGGCAGCAAGTTTTCGAACAAAACGACGCATTTTCGATTTAAATCGGACAAATGTACACAAAGTTATCATATTTTGAAAAAACAATAAAAAAAACCGAGTTAACTTTTTACTAGACCTATATATGTACATATGTAAATGTACATAACTCAATAATTTAAATATGCAATCAAAAAATATTGAGGATACCTACTTCGTTTTAAGCAACAGCGATGATTCAGAGCAATATATAATATGTTTTTCTTTTTTTTTTTTTGCACTCACTTCTATTAAATCAATCCATAAATCCAGCTCATTGATGAATGATTAACAGGCACTTCAAATCTCTTTTGAAATTCGTGCCAAAAAAACATATGTTCATAACAACCAGCTTCAAGTAACAATCGCAGCCTTGCCACTTATGTCCCATATTTAAATAAAGGCTGTCATTCAAAATTAAACTTAAATTTCTTTTTAAATGTCCACTATGTGTCAACTGTCACTGTGTGCTAATCGGGTGAAAATTGTAAATTTTGACAGCCAGCAATAAAATTCGAACATTAGCCGTGGTGAGTACAAACTAGAGCATAACAACATAACAATAACAACAACAAATGAATGCAGCCACATGCCATCCAATATAAAAAGCAAATAACTTCATATTCGTAATGTTTTGTGGGAATTAATTGGACAATTTTTGTGAACGTGCTACAAGAAATTCTTAAATTTGCCCGAATTTTCCTTTCATCACCGCACACAAGTTTTACCTGGCGACTAGACTCTGAATTAACATCAACGCATTAATTGAAATCACTGCATCTGTTTTATTGGTGGAAACATTAGTAAAGAGAAACTATTTTCTTTATTATTTTATGAATTTTTTTTTCAACCGGAAGGCAAAGAAATGGGCGACTTTCTCACGGGCGTTTATTTTGTTTACGTCAAATAAACCAGGTGGAAGGAAGATACCGATTGGTGCACAGTCTATGAAGAGAAGGCAACCGTTTCTGCCGTGCCAGTAATACAATAAAATAGATAAAATACAATAAACTGGTTTATTTTTTTCTCTTTCGTATCTAACAATATGTTCAAAAGAGGGATTTTTTTAAACGAGTTTGTTGCTAACTGTTAAGCTTTGCCCAGCAATCAGTTCCCTTACGAAAAAAATCACTATGTAAACATCGTTAGACTATTGTTATGGCCACCGCTGTGCATTAGTCATTTGAATGAACTTTGAGACGACAAACTCACATTTACATAGTTCATTTCAAAAAGCTCTAGCCAGAGAGACAAGATAAATAGATAAAGTAAAAAAAAGAGTATAACGGTATTACTTTTTTGGCGCTCTTTTCGGTGCATGACCAAGCAATTGGGTGGAATTGGCTAATATCAATTATTTACCTTGTACATATGTACGAACATTGTCATAAATTAATTTTTCGTGATTTACAAAAAAAAATAAAAATAAAAATAAAAACAGTATTTATTTACATAAATATTTAAATTTATTTAAGACTAGAAATTGCAATATAAAAATTAATTTATTGCTTTTTTTGTTTTTGTTTTTCTTTTTATTTTCTATATTTCTCCATTGCCGGCTTAAGTGCGTCTTCGATTTCTTTCAATCCTTTAGCAGTGACTTCTTCATAATATGGCAGTTTCTTTAATTCAGCAAACCAAGCATAAAATTTCGGCCATTTTTCGGCATTAAATGGTACGACAATATCCAACGCTGACACCGATGATAGAATACTCAAATCAGCGATCGTTAAGTGTTCACCGGCTATATATTTATTTTCGCTTAGATACGCCTCAAGCACATCATATACATCGATAATGTCTTTTATTGCCGCTTCGGCGTCTTCTTGTGTATACTGATTCATACCCAGTGGGCGTAGATGTTTTCTTATGACGTTACTAAATATGCCGCCATTCTCATAATGCAGACGTTGATCGACAACCGCACGTTGGTAGAGATCCTTCGGATAGAGTTTGTCATCCTTGCCGTATTTGCTAGCCAAAAAAGCGATAATGGCATGTGAGTCGGCAATGTGTCTGCCATCAACTTCGAGTAGTGGTATTGTATGGGAGGGATTCTTCTTCAGGTAATCCTCCGTTTTCTGTTCACCCTTAAGTGGATTCACTGACACATATTCGTAGTCTATATTTAATGCCTTCAAAGTGAGTAAGACAGCACGTACCGGTGGACTCTTATCCAAACCGTAGAGAATGATTTTATCTGTCATTATTCAATTTGGTTATTTTGTATTTTCCCGCACACAAGCGAACTCTGATCACCGCAAACGCTGAAATGCAACTAAAAGCTTATTCCAATATTTGCGCTTTTTGTATATGTTTTTTGTCTATAAGAAATCGCAATTCATGCTGATAGTGCAACTTTTTGATTGTATTGAGTTTTTTGCCTTTTGTGATTTTTTGGATTTTCGGACGTTGGTGTGTAAACATGAATGCTTAAATATTAGAATTTTTTATACCTTTCATGAACATGAAATTGTAGATATACATACATATAAACTTTGATACGACGATGATGTAAATACTAGAAAGAGAAGAGATTTTCGGCCGAGCTCCTTATCAAATTTGTGGTATGCGTCTTTATGTTACTCTGAGCCGCCTCCGAACGGCTGATGGATTTTGTATGAGGAGCTTTTGTTTCATGTCAGAAACACGCTCAGAGAACTTGACGATCTAAATTAGACTTAGTTATTTATTGAAATTAAATTTTGGATGCTAGTCGAATCAGTGCTCCAACCCTGGCATCTAATGAGGAGAAAAGATAGACCAATCAAAATTTATACCTGTAGGATCAGAGCCACGAGCTGTGTTGATTTGGCCATGTCTGACTGCCCCCCTCTCCGTCTGTCTGTACGCAAAGTAGTAACTCAGTTTGTTAGAAATATTAACAATGCTTGACAAGCATACATAAATATTTTTATATTGCGACAAATGATTGTCGGGACTGGGAAGATCGAACCACTATAACATGTAGACGGCATTCAACTGATTTGTTCAGATATAAGATTTTGAGTTGAGAAAGGTAAAGTGGAATGACTTTGCATTATTACTCTGTCTTATCAAATGATAAATAAACTATATTGATAAATTGAAGTAAAGGGTGTTTTTTTTAGACATATGGTTTTCAAATTTAATATTGTTGTCAATAATTTAGATTTATTATTAAGATCAGGGCTTGCCGTTACGCTATAAAGATGATTTCCGTCAAGTGGCCGACGCGGCTGGCTTTGTAGACAAGCGACTAAATATAGCTCCACAAAATCTTTGCGGCCACGCTCACCAAAAGTTTTGTTCAATAAATTGTTTGTTCCGTTGTTGTAAGGCATGTGGCACCACCTTGTTGGAACCAAAGATCGTACACACCAACAACCTTCACTTCAGGCAGCACCGAAAATTCATTAAACATGGCTCTATAACATTTCCCATTTACTGTAACATTATGACCGACTTCATTTTGGAAGAAATATGAACCAATAATTCCCTCTGCCCATAGATCAAACCAAACAGTTGCAGTTTAGAGCATGTCTCAACGATTTCTTGTGGATTATTTATTATTTACCCACGTCCATTCAACCAAAACCAGACAGCCGCCATAACCAAGTGGTTAGCATTGCTTTCTGCCATTCGGAAGACCAGGGTTCGAGTTCTGCTTCGACAAACATCTATTACTATAGTAAATTAAGTTTCCCAATTGCGAGCGGCCCTCGGTAGGGCATGCCAAGCACACCGAGTGTCTTTCTGTACATGAAAATCAAAAAAATAAAAATCCATTGGCAGCATAATAGGAGCAGGAAGAGCTAGCCCGAAAATGGCTTCAGCGTTTACAAAGAGCCATTTATATACATATGAACATATGTATATTCGAAAAAAAAGTGGTCATCTTGTTTTGGACTCATTCACTGAACGTTGCGACGCGGTTAGGGGTTCAAGAATTTACACGCGGTAAGGCATGCCTGTCGTAAGAGGCGACTCAAATCCAATTGTTCCCGCGACAGTCGGATCTTTATACCGGAACGACCCGGACTGTTATCCGGCTAAGGATTGTCACTTCCGCAACATTCCCCAAAAAGTACTTTGGGGAATATTTTTGAGGGTCGTTCGACTTGAATTCTTGCACGACTTGGTTTTTGTAAGTCAGCAAATCAAGATACTTCTGCAAAATCTGCCATAAAGGAGATGAGCACAGCTCCATTTGTCTGCTCCACAGTAGCAATAGTCTCTTCTGTGCGCACCGTACAGCGTTAGACTTAACATGATGCAAGACCGTTCATTGGTTGCTCGAATTGCCGACTCTGTTGGGCGATTATATCGGACCGAATATCGGAACCGCACCATTATTTTGGTAACAAACTTGCACGATTTGCAAACATTGTGCCGGAGTAAGTCTGTACATCATGAAATGCCAAACCAAATTGAGCATTCATCAAGACCAGCCGTCAAAATATCCAACTCGAAAAAAGTTTCGCCTACTTGAAAACCATACGTTTATAAAAAGAGCACCCTTTACCTAAGCGAGTTCATAGAAATTTTGATTATTTATCATTCTACATACATACATACATATGTATTTAGGTGAATATGACGCATAAATTTAATTTAAGTGAATATCGATTGTCCGCACAACAATTTTTCACTGCGGATCCAACTCGCCTATTTCATGCCCTTACGAAATCGCGTTTTAATTTTTTTGACAAATTTAAAATATTTTCAGAATAAAAGCTGCTCTATGAAGTCAGGGTCAATTTGAGACAGATCTATTACCAATGCTACGCAATTTCCCGCACGAACCCAACATCAGCTCTCAAATTTCTTGTCATTACTTCGCTATTTCATGATCTCGCCAATTCTCGTCCATTAGCCTTGTGCCGTTAGTTAACTGACATTTGTTAAAAAGGAAAAAAAAAAATAAAGAAGAAAAGAAAAGTAAATTCGATTACTCACACGAATTGTAATTAGTAAATAAATTAAATAAGGTAAATATGTCGGGCATGGTTCTTTATGGCATCGACATCAGTCCACCGGTACGCGCATGTCTATTAACATTGAAAGCACTAGGTCTGCAATATGAATACAAGCATGTGGATATACTGAGCGGTGAGCAGTTAGCTGAGGATTTCACCAAAAACAATCCACAACACACGGTGCCCACGTTAAATGACAATGGCACTTGGCTGTGGGACTCGCATGCCATCTGTGCATATCTGGTGGATAAATATGCCAAGGATGATTCGCTGTATCCACGTGATTTGGCATTACGTGCACGAGTCCATCAACGACTCTTCTTCGATGCCAGCATACTCTATATGCCATTGCGGTTCATCACCATACCGATGTTTCGTTTTAATCGCTCCATTGTGCCGCGCGAGAAGACACAAGGAGTTATCGAGGGGTATGTTTTAATGGAGAAATTTTTGGCGAACAGTCCATATTTGGTGGGTGATCGTTTGACAATAGCAGACCTCTGTTGTGTGGCTACGGCGTCTTCGCTCGCCGGCGTTGTTGAGTTGGAACAAGAGAAATATCCGAAACTACACGCTTGGATGGAACGTTTGAAGAAATTGCCATATTACGAGGAAGGTAATGGTGTGGGATGTAAAAAGTATCTGGAAATACTGAAGAAGCGTCTCACTGCAATTGTGTCATGAAAGCATGCATACATACATACATACATATAATATTTTATATCAAAGTTACTAATTTAAAGTGTTGAAAAAAATGAAGAAATAAATATTCAAGCAAAAATATCTACGACTCTGTACATCACTAGAATCAGAGCAGCGAATCTTTTCATAAGATTTAAGTAAAAGTGACTTTTTTTCTAAGGCCGATCCTTCCGTCCACAATAAATTTTCGACTTGACAAAGTTGGGAAAGAAGTAAAGTTCGCATGCCACAAAAACCGACAGCCATATCCTTTCAACGGCGTGGAGGTACTACAGTACTACCTCGGAAACTTTCGGTATATCTCCAATAATACAACTCATCATTCCATTGGCTGCGGTATCCGTCATTGTCAAGGCGCAGGGAACCATACCTCTTACGCAAAACCTTTTTGACAAAAACTTCTCTTCGGCAACACTCCGACTCATCGGTATGACTCATCAGATGTTGCCATCGTCCATGCCTCCGCATCATATTGCAGGACGGTAACGATGAACGAGGAGTGGAGTTTGGTCTTTCTTCGTCGGTTGTGTGGGGGCGGTATGATATAGTGATCGGATCTGGTCGGTACCAACAAATGATTGATTTAGTATAAAAATACATCTGCCTACCATGTTTGCAGGGTGTATTCTAGACGTGTGGTCTTCTATGAGGCAAACGATTTTTTTGGTGTTGGTTTTTTTGAAAGTTGTTGCTTGATTTCTACTCCATTTCATTTACCATTTCATAATGAACAGACTCCGGAACAATAGTTCAGTTCGCGTTTAATCTTTGGTCGACATAATCGCTCAGCAGAATCGGTTATTTGAGTAACAATACCACGTTTGCCTTTGTGAGTAAAACGCATTCTCAGAGACGCCGCACACTGCGCACTGCAGACGCTATTGCTGCTGTGGAGCAGAGTATCGAAGAAGACCCGAATGAGTTCAACCGCCTTTGAGACAATTGGACCTGTGGTCATCCACTTTATTGAAGATTTTGATGAAGGATCTTATATTACAGGCTTACAAAAACCAAGTCGTGCAAGATAAGGAGCTGAACAACCTTCAAGTACTTCGTACATTTGGTGAATGGACCCATAATGATATGGCCAGCGATCCGGATTTCACCGGAAAATTTTGTTCAGAGATGAAGTTGACGGATGAAGTCACACAATCCGTTGTTGAGACGTCGTTACATCGTCAAAAAGTTCCTATTTGGCGCGATCTATGGGCAGAGGCAATCATTGGTTCATAATTCTTCAAAATTGATGTTAAAGTCAATGGGGAATGCTAAAGAGCCATGATCAAAGACTTTCTCATGCCTGAATTTTAGGGTTTTGATATATACGATCTTCCTGGTTCAAACAAGCCGGCACTGCGTGCCCATTTTGCCAATTAAACAAGCAATCAATCAACGAAGGAAACTTTTGGTAAGCGCTTTTTCTTCCCTCATGAGCCTTTGACGTGACCGCAAAGATCATGCGACTTAACGCCGCTGGACCATCTTATGTGAAGTCGCCTGTCTTCGCAGATATACAAGTCCGAAACGATTGACACCTTAAAAGTAAATACCCAGCGCCTCATTGCTGCCCTACGGCCCCAGATGCTGCAAAAAGTGTTCCAAAATTAGGTTTCTCGGCTGGCATGTCCTTATCTTTATAATAAAGCTAAATTCTATATGTTTTGTTTCTTCTTAAAAACACAATTGGTGCTTTGGACGGCTGAAGCGATTTTCGGACGAGCTTTTGCAACCAATAGAGGGACTCATACTTTATACTAAGCCACATGAAGCAAAGCTATTTTCCGGACTTCGGGTTATTTACTCGAGCTCGGTTGATTTGGAGTCAAACTTTTGCCGTCCGCTCAGAATAAACGCGGCTTAGCTCATACCACCAAGAACTACAGTTAAACACACTTAGATTAGATGTGAATAGATACCGCCTCAAAATAAGTATCCACAACCCTCTTGGGGTTGCTTCGAAGGATCACCAGCCCATTAGAGGGAGCTAACAGAGCGTCGTTGGGCAACCAGTAGGTTCGCGCCCATCAGGGTTGGAGCCAGTGAGATCTGAATGCGGTATATTGGAAAAATTATATGAATTGCATTGCTTTTGAGCTGGTGAGAGTAACATTCTGCCACCCTAGTAATCAACAAAGCTACAACTCCAACTTACAGCGGTGTCACAAGTGGGCGCCAACACCCGTAAAGAATATATTGAACCAACCGTCATGCCTGAATATCATTTAATGATATTAACTTCGATACACAAATACCTCTAAGAAAAGATTAGACCCATGGCTACCGGATACAAACAGAACAGGTAGAAAGTCGGAGGTCGTATAAAGTAAAGTGTTGGGTTTCATACGCTAAACTCCATAATTGTGGATGGTCGAGAAGATCTGCGGGATGCATACAGAAAGAAGACACTACACTGAACAGGGCTCATGGATGACTTGATGTGCCGCGCTCGCCTGCGTGCACCTATCACCTTTTTGAAAGTCTATAGACCCATCGTTCGATGGTGGAACCTTACATTTAGAAAGTTTTTTTTTTGCTTTTTTTAATCTAAGCCTCCAGACTTAGGCCACCTACTAGGGAATTTAAACTGAATTCATCTTCTCCATTTTCCACCTGAAAGAGCGCGAGCGTAGATATTTCTGAGGAATATTTTCAAATCTATGGAGATAAACACGTCTTGGTCTTTGACAATTTCTTTACTTGAACCAAGTTCGAAACAGTTGTCCACGTCAAAACGTAAAAAGGTCACATAACCATTAAAAAAAAAGCGCAAAACTTCGTTGTCGCCACTTTATGTGAGGAGTGGGATAGATACCGAGAATTGAAGAAGGAAAAATTGAGAAGCTGACCGACAGGGGTAATACTGGAATACTGGCGACTTACAGACTGGGGTCCGACAGCGTAAGGAAGGAATGACTGCCGTGCTGTTCTAAGCTCTTATACCCGAATAAGCGGTGTCTACGCGAGTAAAGAAGGAGAAGCAGTGAATAGATTGCTTATGAATGGAAACAAGTTTCCGCTTAGACACAAAACAGTTTGAGAGCCAATGAAGAATAACCAGCAACGCACTGTTGTTAAGCCAAGGTAATGGTGTTTGTTAACAAAATTTGCTTTAAAAAATGTCTCATAATTGTCTATGCCGGTGTAATTATTTATATTTCGTGAATGCGACTTGACAAATTTCGCACATTGTGGTCTAATTTTGTACACTTGGCTTAAACAGTTTACTTTTGTATGTATCTAAATATAAACAAATGCTGCAATCGTATAATAATTTAACTTAATTTGTACTATATACGAGGAGATTGAAAAAAGTTCGGTAAGTTGACCAGCAAAAAAATCTTTTTGTATTTATTCGTAATCTTTGTACTTTTCTATCTCCTCCACAAAATCGCCATTGATTTCAATGCATTTCTTAAGCCTTTAGATCCACTTATGAAAACAGTATTCAAAATTTTGGTGCTGGACGTAGAGAATTCTTCGATCCCAGAGATCGCAATAAAATTACTCATCATTTCAGCAGTGTAGGATGTCGGGTTGTCATGATGTGAAAAGTAGCGCCGAGAATCCTTTACCTTCCTGTTTTCCCAACAAATTTTTATAAACATTAGTTAAGCTCTCTTCGGTGTACCATTTTGCAGTTATCGTCTGACCCTTTTCCAGTGGACTAGCGGCTGCAATTTTAGTTCGGGTGAAGTAAACTCACTCATTACTTTTGCTGCTGATTTTTATTGCTTACGTTTTACGGGTGGGTTGGCTCCTGTTAGGCGCCATACCATGGACTACTGTTTGGTTTCTGGATCTGGTACTTATAGAACCAAGATTCTTCACCAGTAACGACTTTACTAAAGTTACTAGACTGACCATTTTCGATTTTTTTTTTAAAGGAAAAATTGGGCTTCATTAAAAATCGTGGTACCCAAAGAATAGATTTTTACGTTTATCCCAGATGATTACTTAATATTCGCGATTCAGCCATTGCATGGCATTCAAGCCCAATTCATACTTGTGTCTTGGGCCTTCTAATCAATTTTGGACTCCACCAGAGCTACAGTGACGTCTTTAGTGGAAGATTTTAGTCGACCGGTTCTCGGTACTCGTCCTCTATGGGAACCTGTCCGGTCCGGAATCTTCGGAACCACTTAGAAATAATCTCTAAAGACGGTGCAATCGTTCCATATGCAATTTGGTATTCACTGAGTACTTTTATTGGCTGTAAATTATGCCGAAACCCTAAGAGAATCACATGGTGAATTTCTGTTTGCGTTGGTGTTGGAATTTCATCTGACCTATCTTCAGCTAACTTGCGTTTTCCCGTCTCTATTTTAGCCGATCCTTATAAAATTTGAAAGGCAGACTAATAAAGTAATTGCAAAGGATTTGTTTTTTTTTTTTAGATTTAACTAAAACAAATTTAAAATCACCAACCGACCGAACTTTTGTTAATCCCCTCGTATGTACCTGTGTGTATGCAAGTACAACTTACCCACCGATGGCCACCGTATGCGAGTGTGACGTCAAACCGAAAGCTTTTCAACAATTAAACTCAATTAAGCCCTGCGCTGAGCGCACACAGGTGATCAATTGTTGAGGTAACTGTAGTCTTTTAAATTTAAAAATAAATTTACTTTTGCATGTAATCAGATATGTTTGTTTTGTTGTTGTTTTTTGCGTTTTTTTTGTTTTTTGTTTTTTTTTTGCAGTCTGTTAAAATAAATTAACAAACAATAACTGATTGTATGGCTAACAAGACAAGTGTCTGACGTCATAATTAAGCACGAGCATCTTATCTACAGAATATACCGAAAATGGAGCTTTTATCGCAACCCATACGATTATCTGGCAGAATCATTTGGGCATGTGTACATATATAAGTAGTGCCCGTACGTGTTTATATCGGCAGTTGTTGCGCGTAGCACACAACGCTAAGGGAATTACGAGCACGAAACCGTCAACAAAGGAAGCAGACACGCCATTTCTGCTTTTTTTTTATTTTGTTCAAAAGACACAAACGCTAATTACATTTGAGAAAGTGATTTAAAAATACCGACGATTTAAAAATGTCCACGAAATTAATCTTATACGGCACTAAGCACAGCGCGCCCGTACGAACGGTCTTGCTCACACTCAGCGCACTCGATATCGAGTTTGAATTTCGCGAAGTTAATCTCGCAGCGAAAGAACAATTGCGCACGGAATTCACGAAAAAGAATCCACAACACACGGTGCCCGCACTCGAGGATGGTGAACACATCATTGTGGACTCACATGCCATAGCCGGTTATTTGGTGCGTAAATATGGCAAAGATGATACACTCTATCCTGAGGATTTCTACGCACGCGCCATGGTGGACCAACGCATGTACTACGAGGCAACCACACTGTTCGCCACTTGCTTGAAACAAATCATCGGTCCACTCTTTCGAGACAATATCACCGAGGTGCCGAAGGAGAAATTCGAACAGATACGTCAAAGCTACGCTGTGCTCGAGGCATTTCTCGTCGAAACGCCTTACATGGCGGGTGAACATTTGACAATTGCCGATTTCAGCATCGTTTCGACGACGAGCACTCTAAATTTCACATTTGTGCCCATCGATAAGGAGCAGTGGCCGCGTTTGGCCGATTGGTTGACACGTATGGAGGCGCTGCCTTACTATGCGGAAGCGAATGGCGTCGGTTTGAAGGGCTTTGCTGAAAAGGTGCAGAGTAAAATGCCAAAACAATATGAGAAATTGTGGAAAAAAGCATTTGTGGAGATCAAAAGTGGCGAGTTAAAGTGATGTGAGGGAGTTTTTTTTTTATTTTGAAAATTCTTACATATGTATGTATCTATGTATGTATTCTATGACGAAGCTTTCCTTTCGTTATTATGCTACATACTACATATGTATGCATAATATGTATGCACTTCTTGTTACCGTTATGTTTTAAATATTGAAAATTTTATATACTGCATACATTTACACGTATATATATGTGTATGTAAAAATAAAGTGAATATTTTTTGTACTGAGTTAGTAAATTGTTTGTTTAGATATATATAACTTTATTATGGCATAATCGTAAATTATATTTTTTTTTCATTTGTATGTAGGTTTGTTTGCATGTAAGCAAAGCTTTTTGTTTTGTTAACTGTAAGCTCTGCCATATTCCAAAAACATACATAAGTGTTTTAATAAATTTGTTTTTTTAAACATTAATATGTCACTCTTTAGATAATTTATGACCCAAAATGTTAAATCACAAGTAGGGCGGAGCTCATTGCTTATGAGAAATAAATAGATATTCGACTGCTACGCGCAAAAAAGCCTCATCTTGAGCCTGCATACAGTGACTCACAAAAGCGTTCGTAAAAGAGTAGTATTTTCAGTAAAATTTTATTATCTCTTTGTAATAATAATATAAAAATTCGAAATATCAGAAAAACTCAAAATAGCTCCTCCGTTACTATATCTTAATATATGGTTAAGTAAAAGGTTCGTTCGGTTTTTTACTGATTTTTTCAAAATATGATAACTTTGTGTACATTTGTCCGATTTAAATCGAAAATGCGCCGTTTTGTTCGAAAACTTCTTACCAACGAGGTGCCAACTTTATTACACCCCTCTCGTAGAAGGCTGTGTCAAAAAAAATCAGAGAGCCAATTTTCACAGGTTGAGGCCAACTTCTCACCATTAAACGCGTTCGCCTTGAAGAGGAAAAGATGGTAGTCACTTGGTGCCAGATCCGATCTACAATTTAAGGTGGGTTCATTAGGACCTCTCCCTCCCATCCGAGCTCCTGGAGCTTCTGGCGCGTCGCCAAAGACGTGTGTGGCCTGGCGTTGTCCTGATGGAACTCAGTTCGGACTCTATTCATCAAAGGTGGCCTCTTCAGGATGAGTGCTGCCTTCAAGCTACTTCAGTTGTTGGCTGTAGAGGGTAGCATTGAACGTTTGGCCATAGGGGAACAGCTCGTAGTAGACGATTCCTTGCCAATCCCGCCAAACACACAGCAAAACCTTCCTGGCCGTCAATCCGGTCTTTGGCCACCATTGACCACGACCGTTTGCGCTCGATATTGTCGTTAGTGACCCATTTTTCATCGCCACTCATAATCCACCTCAGAAACGGGTCGCTATTGGAGCGATTCAGCAGCGATTCGCAGATGGAGACTCGGTCCATCATGTTTTTTGCGTTAGTTCGCGTGGCACCCAAACATGGAGCTTCTTTTTGGATCTAAGGTTATGCAAATGGTTCCAAACGGTGCAGTGATTCCGGCTTTCTGCGTTAAACTAAATAATATTTTCTGTACAATGACCTACGATAAAAAAACAGTAGTCGAATTTTACCCAAAATTTTGGTCGTTTTTGGCCTGCCAAAATTCCATTTTTTGATCAGATCAAAAATCGATAGGTCATTGTACGGAGAACTATATATAGAACATGTAAAAAAAATTCGATAGTGATCGGATCATTTGTTTTTGACTAATCACTGCAGCAAATTCGGAAAATGCTGTTCGAGAAAAACGAGTTTAAAGAAAAAATGATCGTTTTCACTCGTAGCTAATGAGACTCTCAAGCTGCCGAGCGGCTGCTCTTTCAATTGCTATAACTCAAAAACTAATTGAGATATCGATTTGAAATTTTAATATGTTATTTTTTAAGGTGTAATCTACCGAAATATGAAAAAAAAGATAGAATTTTTTTTTTGAAATTTCACGCTAAATGTGCCCCTTAAGCGAATTTCCTTACAGAGAACTGTAAAATATTGTCCATTTGTACTTCTACTTTACAGTTATATAAAAACAAAAAAATATATAATCTACAAAATCTGAGAAAAGCCAAGTTCATTCACGTTAAAAATTCAATCTTTATGTCCGTAGCAGTAAGACTCGATATGCACGTGTTGAAGGAGCTCATGAATCAGTTGAGCAGAGAGCAGAAAGAAATGCAGCCCAAAGAATTCGCACAGCTGAAATTCGTGCACGAGAATCACGAGAACAGCGTAATAATCGTCGACAAGAAAATGCATTGACCATCGGACCAACCGCGCAACAATCCGTGGATCATTGGTTCGTATGGCATTTAATTATGAACCAGACATCAATTACTCGGCTGATTCCAAAGTTACTATTATAGCGATGCAATATTTGTCAGGCATTAAAAAGCGCGGCATGTGTTGCGCATCAGGAAAAGTTGTATTGTCGTATTTGTATTGACACGAAAATTCAATTCTTTCTTCTAAATGACGTCATTTGTAGCATGCAATGTTTGTGATTTGCCATCTGATGGTCGTCATTTTGCGACAATATTCAAAATTCAAGGCAAGGTATACAAGGACCCGAAAGGGGATCTCCGATCTAAGAGGTGGACGTGCTTTTAATCCGCTTTCAAACATTTTCATATGGCACTCATATTTTGGGTACAAGGGTTATTGCAGACAAGGCGCCAGGAAATCGTTTCGAGGATAGTTGAATTATAGGATTTTTTTTAAGCTCATAAGAGCCATTTCTCTACTAGCTACTACGGACATATGTACATGTGTACATCATAAGAGAAAAAATTTAATAAAACAACATTTTTGTTTGCGGCAGCTGTTTCTCTTTATTTAATTTTTCATCCTCTAAAATTTTTTTTTTTTTTTTTAACATCACATTGACATTCTTCTTTTTCTATTGATATTTCATTTCAACATACTGGCCATGTATTTTTTGCGTTATTTTTCATGAAGTTTTATGCTAATTTGGCAAAATGACACAAAAAATATCTCGAGCCCTTATTATGCCGGCACATTCTAAGTAGTATTAAATTATTGAGAAAGAGTAGATCACAAAGGGTAGTCTAGTGGCAGCTGTTTGATTCAATTCAAATTCATGTAAATATTTTACGCCGTAATGCACTCGTGAGTGCCTGATTTTTAGCCACGCTAACCCACTGTTCATCTACAACCATTTGGCCATCAACGATTTAAACTATTTAGTATTTTATTTATTTTATTGAATTTTATGTGTTTTTTTTCATTCAGTTTTGAATAAGAAATAAAGTCGAAGTATTCAGTTTACATATTGAAATAAATTTGCTAAAAATAATTACTGAACGTGAAAGATCGAGTTTGAGAAAATTATTTTAATTGGAATTATCTAAATGTGTAATTTTTTTTTGCTTGTTTGTTATTTATTTATTTATTTTTTTTTGCATATAATGCATTTTTATTGCAGGATCGAGAGAAGAAAGTAAAACTGGAGTACTAGTACAAGTATATTAAATTTACGTTGAAAATTATGATTTATTTTTTTTGTTTGTTTGCAATCGTCCCCAGTTTTTGAAGTCTGTTCTTATGTCGTTTTGAAAAATTTTATTAATTTTTTTTTGTTGATGTTTTGCAAATATAAATATTTTTTTTATTTTTTTTTTATATATTTTTTTTATTATAATTATTTTGAAAGTAGCGTGCATGTGATATATTTTGCCTTTCTGGAGCATTCTTTTCAAATTTTTTTTTTTTTTTTTCAATTTTAATTTGGAATTGTGTTGATTATCAGAATGTGCTAAAGAACATTTCAACGCTTTTTCATTTCATATCCATATGCATTTCTTTCAGTGTTATATGGGTTTTTATCTATCAGTTTAATAGGCTATTAATTAGGGTTTAAATATATTTTCTTTTTCGCATATTGCATATATGGATTTGCTAAATTCAGTCATCGTCATCCTCAGACTCGGCCTCTTGCAACCAAGTCAGCCAGTTGTTAACTTGGAATAGTGCAGTTCCTTTACCAGGATATTTGTCCGAAATTTCCTCCTTCCATAAAATAAAGGTTTCCTCTTCGATTACTTCCGCTTCATAGAGATATTTGAACCAGCGGCAGAGCATACCTAGAAAAAAGACAACGAAAATTAGTATTTAATTAAAAACTGTACAGAAATTAAAAAATGTAGAGAATTAAATTAAGGGAATAAAAAAAAGAACATTTAAAAATCTTTCTAAGATTGAAGATAAGTCTACAAAAGTTAATAAAATAAAATAAAAATAAAGAAAAAATAGTATATAAAAAAAAACAAAATTAAAAAAAAACCTTATTTAAAAATATTTATATAAATTAATAAAAAAAAAAAATTTAAAAAACGAGATTAAAAAAAATACAAAAGTTATAAATAAAAATTAAAAAAAAAAATATATATATAAAACTTAAGCATAAAAAAAATCATAATACTTACAAAAATATATATATATAATATATAGATACATATAAATTAAAAAAAAATATAAAAATATATTTGAAATATTAGAAAGTGTATATGTATGTATTAGCTTAATAATTAAAAAAAAAAAATACAACAATTTAAAAGTTAAAAATGTACATAATATATATAAATATATGTATAACTACTAGTTATTACTAGGTAAAAAAAAAAAATAAAATTGTTCATACATGAAACAGATTTTCTGCGTAACTCACCTTTAGGGAAGTTTTCATTGTGGCAAAAAACTTGTAATGCATAGATTGCGATCAATTGTAATTCGTTGCTACCGCCAAGGAATGTCCGCAGAATTTGGCAATATTTGAGTAGCAGCGCTTCTTCCTTGTCAATAGTGGCACGATCTGGATGTTTCTTTGTATCGGTACCTTCCGCTAATGTGGTTTCCTGAAAGTAGAATTTAATTATTAATCAATTTATTCAATTCCGGGCATGCAGTATATGTAGATAAGCAGCATTTGTTTGCATGTTTCAGTACTTACTTGTGTTATGTATTTCACCAACACGGTCATGAGTGCATTTATGAAGCCAGTATCTTTATAAAATTTGGCATCGACATTGCTTTTGATCCACTTATAGAATGCTGCGGGATTCGGATCAGTTGTCAATTGTTTAAGCATCTCTGCCTGTACTTTGAGCAGTGGATAGAGGAAGGCCAAATTGCGATCATCCAAAATTTCAGCTAAACGTGTCTTATTGCGATCCACTTCTGGCAGACTGTTCATTAAATCAATTTTACCGGCACGGAATTTCTCAGCTAATGCTTCCTTGCCAATGGATTTGTGTAGTTGTTGCAGCACAAGCAGGAAGAGTGGATAATGTTGACCGTTATCTGTGTAACTGGCAATATCGCTCAATTTCAACAGACTTCCATCGCTAACCGCGCGGCTTAAAAGTCCAGCAACATGTGTGGCTATGCGTGGATTTAATGCTTCGCGTTCATTCATTTTGTTAATAACTTGTTTGAACACTTCTAGAATGATGTTGGGTTTAATGTTGCATTGCTTGCGTACGGCTTGTAGGAACGTAACAATACGATCCAAGTACCGGTCTTCAGCCTTTTCCAATACATCCATTATGATATTTATGCAGACATCTTTCATACATTTCTCAGGCACTTTTAAATCCAAGAAACCATCGACTAAAGTAGCGAATTGTTTGCCATGACCACTATCGTTAGCACCGGAGCTGGCCACACCGCTGTCATTATTTTCATCCTCGCTGGTATTCTGAATTTCAGTAATTGTTGTATCTTCATCCTCAGATTCATAGAAGAATTTATCCTTAACATAAGCAGTAGTCTTCTTTAATATTTCCTCTTTGTTGAAAGCCTTATCTTTTTTCTGTTTGTTCGAACCTGCACCAGCTGCTTTCTCTACAGAACCTTGCTTCGTGATCAATTGTTGTGGATCTACGGGCGTTGCACTGCGTTTCTTCTCCACAGTATCATCGATACTTGGATAATCTGTGCTGTTACTTCCATCATTGGCTCTTGCCTTTTCTGCGCTCGTGACGTTAACTGCACCGAAATTAGGAGAAGAAGAAATAGGTTTTAATCCTCTATCTGAGCTTAAACCTAAATTAGTCGACTGCGCAATCTTCTCGTTATCGTATTCAGCCGATGGTGTTGATGAGGGGCGAGCAGGATTAACTAAATGAGATGTTGGTGTGCCCAGTAATGGATATTGTGTGTTTGACAATTGATCTTTACCCTGACCAGCACTGCGATTGGAGCTAGCATTGCCGAAACCAATGCTACCACTTGCTGGTGGTGTAGACATCGGCAGCATTGTTGGCAGTTTATTGTTTTGTGAAGCCGCTTTGAAGAGAAGCGAGTTGGCTGCAGGACGCATTTGTAAATTTTCGACTGGATCTTGATTTGTCGATATTAGATTGCGTTTGAAGCGTGGTGCCAATTCTTTGCTATTTAGCAATGGATTACCACCACCGCTGCCGTATTGCGATGAACCCGAGGATTCACCATCACGTCCCATATGAGCATTACGGCCACCACCTCGTCCATCTTCACGATTTCCACCGTTGCCACCATTTTGGTTGTGTTTATTGTAACGGTTATTATAGTTACCATCACGACCACCCTGATTGCGGTCACGTCCATTATAGGGTCGATTCGGATTATTACTGTTAACGAACCTTAAAAGAAAGAAGGGGATATTTTCATGTATTATGTATTATATAGAAAAAGTTTGGTTTGTATGGTTATACTTACGGTGAAACAATTGGCGAAGCACCTGTAACACTCAAACTACTAAACATATCATTGAATCCTGGCTGAAGATTAATATGGAAGCGATTCATCCAATTATCACCATCGCGGTCATTATTGCGCATATCGCGATTCCTTTGTGCGAACGGTGTACGTATAATTGTATCGTCATCGGTGCGGATCTGTTTGATAGGCACGGGTCCCTCAGTGGTCGCCACTTTACGGGGTATCCAGTTATTCTCGCGCAGTTCAATTACGTCTTTCAACATGAAACGTATCCTTGGTGGATAGTCAGTCGATTTTGATCGGCGTTCCAAAGTATCGAAATATTGATTCATCAGCTCTTTGCCCTGTTCTGAATCCAAGACCTTCCCGCAAGTTTTGAGCAACTGAGCCAAGCACTCCATGTCCTCGCACATTTCTTGTTGCGAGGCAGAACGTTTTTTCTTCTTATCCAACAATTCCATAATGCACTGATGCAGTACATTCTTTGATAACATGTCCAATTTGTGGAGTTCGCCAATGAATTTGACATTACCCAGCATACGCTGCTTGGCCAAGTGACGACGCTCCTCTTCATCGGTGTCATTTTCACTAAGATTTATTTGTGACTCAGGTCGATGTACTTTATTGAATTGGTTATTGTTATCGCCGTCGGCGTTATCACGTTTTAGACGATTATTGAACTTATCACGACAAACAGCAATTAATAGACGCAAAAATGTACAAGAACTATTTGGATCCTTTTCGAAAGATGGCGCTTCTTGTGATAAACGTTTGCACAACTGTGCGTACATAGACGAATATTTCGGCTCATCTAAAGCTTTATCGAAAATTAGCAAAATCACGCCATTCAATATCTGAATTGAGTTCAAATCAAGCTTCAATAATTCATCGCTAAGCTCTTGGAATTTCTCAGGAGTCAATTTATTTAGTATACCTCGAACCTGCATTTGAACGTACAAGAAATTTAAATATATATAATATATAAATAATAATTTGTTATTAGTAAACAATCAACTAACTCACCCTTCTGAAGACAGCATCATTTTTCTCGCTCTGGGTAAGTCCATGTTGTGGACGTAAAGAGGGTGGTACCCAACGTCCCGCAGCTGGTGGCGGTGGTGTCGGTGATGGCGAAGGACGCTGAGTGCTAACTGCAGCGCCAGCTGAATTGGGTGAAATGCCACGCGACGATGAAGAAGCTGAGTTTACGGAAGAAGGTGTAGATGAATGTGCGCCTGTTGCTGCTCCGGTGGCTGCTGTCGATACTGATACATTTCCTCCTCGTACAGGTGGAGTGCGGTTGTTATAGGCACGGCCGCCTTCAGATGAACGTTCGTAACGATCCTCTATTGAAATGCCACCTTGACGTAGAGCAGATGGAATGTGACCGTTGCCGGTGCCCGGCTCAGTGGGCTTATAACGCCTGTTATTTCCGCGTTCTAGACTGTTTGTGTTACTGTTTCCTTGATTGTAACGTGATCTTGGTGTATCGTCGTAGTCACGATAATTATTACCGCTGCCGCTGCCGCTGCCGTATTCGTCGCGGTGATTCGATCGTGGGTTTACATTTCCATCATTGTATCCACTGCGTGGTCCGTATCCTGATTTATTTGAATGATTGTTGTTATAACCAGCGTTTGATGCGGCACCATACGACCGCTGTTGCCCATTTCCGTTCTCGTACCGAGAATTCTGTTGTTGACGATAGCTATTGCCTCCGCCACCACTTGAATTGCTTAAATTACGATTACCACTGTTGTAGCCGCCATCGTTGGGACCTTGGTTATTATAACGTCTATTATTGCTTCCGTCGGCGTTATATGAGCCGCGTCCGCTATTACCTTCGCTACCTATGATAGCGCGTCCGATACCAGCACCACCAAGAGTGCCGTTACCGCCAGGTCCAATTGATGATTTGGGGCCCTGTCCCAAAGTGTCACTATTTTTGCTATAGTAACGCGACGACGACGAGTCACCCTGGTAAGTTCGTCGAGGCCGTGGGCTTACGTCAGAATCGTATTGACGAATTTTGGCGGAGTTCCTATTAAATGTTGTACCAATATATCCCGAAGCGTTACCTGCTCCAGCACGCCCTCCAACACTGATACCCGAACCAGCTGATCCGCTACCGTTGGAGATTAAACCGCGTTCTTCTGCGGATGTTGGTGAAACAACAATGTTATGACCAAGGTTGCCACTATTCTTATAACCGCCAATGTTATTCCCTTTCGGGCGATAACTACCACCACCACTATTGGTGTTTCCGTTTGTTGGACTTGAACCCTTATCGATTTTTACTAAATTCTTTAAATTGTTAAATGTATCCGTAGCAGTAGTGATGGGCAAAAGATTAGGGCTTGTATTTAGCAGTGTCTTCCCAACCGTTGGTGTGGGCGGGGATTGGCCACCGCAGCTGACGCTGACGCCGCCGCCTCCTCCTCCTCGGTTACACGAATTGTCGTTAAAACGCTCAGTATTAGTTTTATGAGCCGTTATTGCGAGGTGTAAACCGCTGCCGCCGATGCTGGTGTCACCGGTACTACTGCCTCCCTCAATGGTGCTTGCTTTTAAGTTCCTGTCGTGCGCTATGGTGACGGAATATGGTTCGTTGGTTTGATCCCAACGTTGCCTTGGGTCGTCGTAAGGCTGCGAAAAGTGATTACCAAGCGTTGAATGAGGAATGGTGGAAACTTTTTCGTTTACTTGGGGGCAAAGAATTCTATCCACTCTTTCGTTACAGCTACTGTGACGATTGTCGACGTTATCTGTCGCCGTCACGTATTATGTGTTTATATTAGCGAAAAAGCTCTAATGCTTTTGATAAGAGAATATTTATATTTTATTTTGTATGGCTTAAAATTATTGATGTTTTTGTTTAGAAAATCAATTCAACTTTCTAACACGCACTGGCTGTTTGACCCAACTGTGTGACTGGAGATTTAAACGATACACTCAACTCACACGCACACACTCACGGTTGCCGATAACGTAAAATTTGTAACGAATAGAAGACGCAAACAAGTTGTTGGTGATTTAACTAGTTTACACTATTTTCGTCGCAGATATGCGATTTCCACAATTTATATGAAACAATATTTAGATCTTTACAAGTGTATTAAAATTTAAACTTATCTTTTTTTCGGAAAAGATTGGAGTTTTTCTTCAAAGTCAATTGCCTTGTGTTTGAAAATATTCTGCAATGAAAATATAAGAAATATTTTTGGTTAGAAAATGTTTAAAAGAAAAACGGTGATAATGGTGATGATGTAAAGTACTTGCTGTTGCATACATGTATAATTTCCACAAAACTGAAATAATTATTTTTTTTTATCATTAATACGTACGTAGTCCAAATGAGCAAAGAATATCAGCAAAAACAAATAAATAATTCAACACACTTTGCCGGAAGCAAACATTCCAAATGAAGAATATATGCTTGTAAAATATATTCGCAATATTGATGCAAATTTCATCTGTGCCGTAGAATATTAGATCAAAATATTAACTCAACGTACTTATTGCCCCGACTAACTGAGATGAACTGAAATGCTACTCACGTCGTCTACTAAATTGAGACCAGTTTAACGAGTGACTTACGAAATGTCTACACAATAGCAATATACTTATTTAGCAAACGAGATTCATTCACTGACTGCACACTTTACCCTTATACCTGCAACACAACAATGCACAGATTCGCTGCTTTCTTGGAATCATCTGTCTAGTTAGGTACCTACAAGAAATGCCACCGTCTAGACTCTACTGTTGTTGAAGCAGCTGATTTTACTTTGCATCATTTTTACAACCACCATTTGCCAAATTTTGTTTATCACATTTTAAGATATGTTGTCTTGTATCCATTTTCTTTGTTTCAATTGACTCTCTTGGAACGGCGTACTGTTGCCCAAATTTGTGTATGTATATTGAAATGCCAAGGAGAAAAATTCCAGGTTCTTAACTACATTTGTACACACAAATATACAAAGAAGAATGTTTTTGTGTTTATTGAGGATATATTCGATCACCCGATGAAATATTGTATTTAAAAACAACAATGCATAATATGCATTTTAGTATATTTTATTTATATCAAGCCGTATAATATTTCATGACACATATATGTAGCAAAAAAGAAAGTGTCTGCTAATTAATATTGCAGTTTTGAAATAATTTAATGTTAATAACAAGATGAAGAAGGAAAATTTCGTAACAAAAAGTACAGTTCTTCAGATGCTACATTATCCTAACCACTGACACACAGGTTTCTAAACAATCACGTATATGTGTTTTAATGAAATGCTGACAAATTGTAACATTTCCAGCCCATACAGAAAATGTTTTCGTTTTAATTCAAACTGAATATTAACATTTTTTTTTTTTTTAAATATTATTTTACTAAAAAATTATGATTCCATAGGCAAACTAACTTATAATAATAGAAGAGAAAAAGTATATATGAACAGAATATGACAAGCATGGGAACAATAAACTAAGTAATATTTTTAGATAAATACTTATTAAATCTTCATGCGTTTTTATGACGACATACTGGAAGCATCTCAAAAAGTTTTTAAGACATCACAGTAATTTTCGGTTGAACTTTCTTTGTTCATAAAGCGGCAGTACAAAGAAATTCAACGTCAAAGTTGATTTGTATGTAGACAATGGAACAGGAAAATAGCCCCCCCCCCAAACCTCACAAGGGGTGGTATATTTCAAGATGTGCGCACATACACAAAAGAAACGAGTAGATGCAATACATGACGTACATGCGCGTTTTGAGGGTAATTTTTGGATATTTTTCTGCTATTTCACTAGCAATAACCTCAGATTTGAAGAAACATTTGTATTTATATATTTTACTTTAAGTTTAAATATACATAAATACCTCACAGTAAATGTACAATATATGCCAAACAATTTTGTAAACTAATAAATATACAAGTTCCCAATTAAGTTTGTGCTAAGAATGTATGCATGTATATTATTAATACATATAGAATTTGATGGCCACTACAAAGCTTTAAATTGATTTCGACCTCAATTCAGACTTGTATCGCCGTCGCCGTCTCATTTCACTTGAGTAAAGCAACGATTAATTTTCACTTTACACTTGCTACTTCTGTTGATCCAATACAGGCGTCGGCAGCACTGCAGGCGTCAGTTAAGCGGCGCTGCAATCATACATATTTGAGGTTGCTGTCTGCTTTCCCTCTTAAAAAAAAAAAAGACTCGTATAAACTTTGGAATAATTGAGCTTTTTCTGTTTCAATGGAGACTTGAAGCTTAACTCCTTTCCGCGTTATAATTTACACCGATTTTTTGTTCTACCTTTCGGGGAAATAACGAAGTTTATTAAAGGTCAAATAAAGAAATAACAACGCCTTAATTTAATGCCCTACCCAGAGCATCGATTATATGACAAAACATTTAGGTTGGCTAATGAAATGGCGCATCGTGGTGTATTAAACAAACAATATGACAGAATCGGGTAAGATTTTGAAAGTGGAAAATCCAACAAATGTAGCTAAATGCTGTACATATGTACAAACATATCTATATGAGAAACATGTGGCTCAATGCACATATCACAATAGAAAAAGTTGAAAAATATATGTATATAATAAGTACGCATGTATGTGCATTTACAGTGTATGTATACTACAAATGGAAGATGTGACGGGGCGCGCAACAAAGCGAACCACAACGACGACGTCGTCGCAGTCGCCATCTTGATTGCGACGACGTTCGTATGATTCACTGGTACTGTTTGCGAGGCTAATGCACTGCTACAGCGACGTAAGCAGCGCAGTTTTAATGTCTCGAAAATTTATCAGGATAGAAAATATCATGCTTCAAACATTTTTACTTTAACTTCGCCAAAAATGATCTCTTCCTGTTACCCAATCCTATGTATACATTAAAAAAAAATACGAGCTCCATTGTTCGCAGATCGCCAGATTTTAAACACATATAAATGTATGCAGTTCCTTCACAGACGAATAGCAAATCTCATCCGATTTTACATACTTTAAACTTTGCAAATTATTCACTAAATTTGGTATATACAAAATTTTCAGCTTTATTAACAGACATATAACTAAATAGCACATATAATTACACTTACCGTTTCTTATAAAAATTTATTTTTCTGCAAACCGATGCACAAAAATTGAAACTCACTAGCCAAGGCAAAGGCAAAAACGAAGAAATAATCTTTTGTCACCGAACTTGATGGCGAAGCAAACGAAACGAACGAGTAAGACAGTGTTGCTGCGGTCAATGAGGAAATGCTACTGTTTTCCAATTCGTGAGTTGCAACGAATGTTATTAAATAGGCTGATATATTAGTGGAAGATTTGACGGACAAAACAAATGTCATTCGAGAATATTTACAGCAAAAATTTTGAAACCAAATACAATTTTCATTAGACAATAAGAACTTTTTCAAATAACCAAAGAAGGAACTGAAAATAATTTGTAGCGCTTAAATAGAGTTCGACTCGTTAATATAAAAATTAGAGTTAATTACTATGAAATCCAGGTAAGAAGCAAAAAGTATTAAGCAACATTTCACATTTAATTATACCTACTAATTACATAATTCCAACTCTTTTGTTACAACGATTGGAAAAATGTTAATATGGTGGCAGATTATGCAACGCTGCTTCATTCGCTCATTTATTCTTACCGAATTTCTATAAGTGGAGGTGTTTGGAAAGCATATTATAACAGGGTGGTTACATCAACTGCTTTCGAAATTTCCACGGCTGGTACAGAGAAAGCTTCATTACAAGCATAAGGTTTGAAAAATGTTTTTCATATGTTCCTACCTTGGCTCTCACATTTAGCGCCAAAAGCAAGGCCAACGCTTTACGAATTCAGCTATATTTTTAATAGCGCTTTCCGAATTTGATACGCGTTCCCAAATTTGTTTAAAGCTATATTCTTAGTTTCCAAATAAGACTACCATGAAAAAAGAAACACTCTAATTTAACAGAGAGATTCCCCCCTCCACAACTTCAATGTATTTCACTTTCTTATTTTATTTTTATCCAATATTTTTTACTTTTTTTGATAGCTGTTTGTATGGTGAGTTAGTTGGATTTGATTAATAATTAATAAAACAGTTAATTAATTCACAGTCTTAAACATATTTTGAATCCTTAAAGTAAGACCTTAAAGCCAATTGCTTTTACATAATCATAATACTGTTTTAAGCCAATACCGTTACCCTCAGCATAGTAAGGCAACCGCTCCATACGTCTAACCCAATCAACGATTTTTGGAAATTTTTTTTCATCGAGTTCCAAATATGCGAAAAGGGTGGTAATCGTTACGATAAGTGAAAAATCTGCAACGGTTAATTGATCACCAGCTACATATTGATGCTCCAGTAGGAAACGCTCCAAACTTTCGTATACTATAAATATAGCATGGATTTTCACAGATGTAATCACGTTGTTACTACGAAAAACCGATCTGCTGATAGTAAGCAGTGTGCGCTCAAAGACCACAGTAGCCTCGTAGAATAAAATTTGATTAACTTTGGCACGTTGAATTAGATCCTTCGGATAGAGTGAGTCGTCAACGCCATATTTATCAACCAAATATGTGTTAATCGCATGTGAGTCTGTGAGCACATTATCATCGTCAGTGAGTGTTGGCACTGTGCCTTGTGGATTAATAGCAAGATATTCGGGTTTACGATTTTCACCAAATAATTAATTTATAATTTTATATTCGAAAGGCACATTTAGCGCTTTCAATGTGAGCAAAACCGCGCGACATGGCGGGCTGCCGTCTAAGCCATACAAAATTATTTTGCCCATTCTTTTAAAAGTTTACTTTTCAACTGAATTGAACTGAGGAACGATATATTTTATCAGACGTTGAACGAGCGAGGGTGTTTGCAGCCCCTCTTTGGTTACTTTTGTTTTAAGGAAAAAATGAGGGTCAGAAAAAGTTTATTTGCTTCCGTGTGCGCGCTGCAATCGATTGATAAGAAAACTACGGAATGAATTTCATATATTTATAAAAGATTTTCACTCTCTGCGGCGGTTACATAGTTATTTTCTAGTGTTTGTTATCATTCTGCTTATCATTATCACCTTCACATGTTAATTATTTATTCTGTTCGTAAGTATTTAAAAAAAAATTTGATTTTCGATTAGGTAAAATAGTGATATTGCAAAGTAAGCTTTAGATAACATGCTTGCATCTATGTATGCACATATGCCTTTACACATACATATGTATATACATACGTAAGTATTTACGATTATTTGTACAAAAACTCTGTAACGCTGAAAACTTACTATGACATTTTTGAGAAAATTTAAATGATTATTGCATCCAAGAAAATCACTAAATTAACACAACAACAAATTACCCATTACATTAAATTCCTTATCTTGCAGTGTTTGAATTTCTTCCATTTCCATTCAGTTTAATTTAAAATATCAACAAATATTATTGCATGTAATTCAAGCAACTGCATTATGTGCGGAAGCGTGCCGAAACGTGTCATAGCTGATTTCCGTTTAATGACGTTTCCTTCCTTCACGATGTACGATAGTCGCTGTAATCGATATCGATACGATATTTGTAGTAACTGTTTTTGCGCGCAAAATTTCTGTTATATTTTTTAGACCAACATTCTTCAGCATTAGATTAAATGAGAGATAATAAACGAGTGAAATGGATAAATAATGTAAAATAATTGTGAAGTTAGTGAGTGCCATTGACTTATTATCGAATTAAGTATGTTTTGCACTAATTATACGGCTGATTGTGGTAAATCTATAATAATTTTCTAAAACCTTCTGTTGCTGCTTAAGAACTACATATTTGTGTATGTATGTTTTGATTATCAAATAATTTATAACAACGAAGGGATTTATTGTTTAAATGCTCTTTAAAATATGTAGATATTACTTCATTGTACAGTAGTTTAATAGAATAAAACAAAAACAACATCAGCTGTGCATACGTTGTGGGCTGCGGCAGTTATGCTTCGCGTTTGTGTTCTTGTAGTTGCAAACGAATAATATTACATACACGTACACATGTATGCGTGTGTTTATAAACGTTGTTATGAAGTGTAAACTATATATTTATTTGTATGTACAAATATTAGATTAAGTACAAAAGTGTGTAGAACAAATCGATAAAATCTTAAAAATACGTGAGTTTTTCCGCAAGATAATTTATAAAAGTTTATCTGTGTATGTACATAGTTTCATTCAATTAAGAATATTATTTGCGGTCACAGTAGCGAAGTAGTTAGTAGTGGGTGAAACCGTTTAGAGTATCGTGAGTGCGAACACTGACCAGGAAAAAAAAGTTTTTGCATTGCGGTCGTACGGCAGTGAAATAAATTCTTCCGAACTTATATCAGATAAGAAACAAAAGCGTATCATAAAAATCTGTCCGAGGGCGGCTTAGAATAAGCTTATATGTTTCATACATATGTATGTTGAATGTCACACAATTGCATCAGCAGCTCGGCCGAAAATGGCTATATCACTTACAAACACCAATTAAAACACAATTTTTTTGTTTGTTTGAAAATACAACAAATTCTTTTAATTAACGTAAAACTTTGAAACCAATCGATTTCACAATAGCTTGATACTGTTTTAAGCCAACATCATTGCCCTCAGCATAGTAGGGCAACTGCTCCAAACGTCTAACCCAATCAGCAATTTTCGGATATTTACTCTCCACTAGTTCAGCATAGGTGAAGAGTGAGCTTATCGTTACGATAAGTGAAAAATCTGCAACTGTTAAATTTTCACCAGCAACAAAAGGATGTTCCTGCAGAAAACTCTCTAAACGTTCGTAAACGCTATAGACGGCATCAATTTTGGCAACTGGAATGACATTGTGATTATTGAAGACAGCTTTGCTGATTGGTAGAAAGGTGCGATCAAAGACCATAGTAGCCTCGTAGAATAAAATTTGATTAACTTTGGCACGTTGAATTAGATCCTTGGGATAGAGTGAGTCGTCAACGCCATATTTATCAACCAAATATGTGATAATCGCATGTGAATCCGTGAGCACATCATCATCGTCAGTGAGTGTTGGCACTGTGCCATGTGGATTGATAGCAAGATATTCCGGCTTACGATTTTCACCAACTAATAAATTTATAATTTTATATTCGAAAGGCACATTTAGCGCTTTCAATGTGAGCAAAACAGCGCGACAGGGTGCACTCCCGCCTATGGCATATAAAATAAGTTTTCCCATTTTTTTTCTTTTTTTTTAAATTTTTGAAATACTGTAGTGTTGGCCGAAATGCCCGCGTTAACCTTGAACTAACGACTAATTGATTTTTGCTCCCGTGAGCTGACTTATGTCAACTATTGGTACTGTTATTAGTGAACACCGGTGGGGCGATAAGATTAACTTCGAATTTAACTATTTTTTGAGAGAGAGAAATGAATAATAAAAAAATGGATAAATAAGTATTAGATTTAATATAAAAATATTTGGAAAAGAGAACTATGTATATTTCCAAATACATACTAAATGCATACATACATATGTATGTATTTACAATACATATGTATATACTCTCTCTTCAATTGATATGATAAGAGACCTATGTTAGAGTGCTTATTATTATGCTTATCATATCAGCCAGTTCTTTATACGTGTGTACATATGTATATGCATATATGGGTGGATGTTTGTAAGTTTAGTGTGCTCACAGGTGTCGATCGCTTAAATGTTCGACAACGACGATTGCATATAATCTAATCACTCATAAATAATCACGTGCACTTGAGAAAAATATATACGCACATACATACATACATGCATTCTTACAGATGAAGAAATCCTTCAGTTACATTTTGTTCAAAAAAATAATTGCTAACTGTAAAATTTTTTAAGATTTTTTTTTGTATTTTTTTTTGTTCTTGTTAAATATTTAAATTATCGTGAATCATTTGACACAGAAGAAAAAATAATAATTTTTCTTATCAAGCATTACTGGCAAAAATTGATAGCGACAAAAAAAACCAATACGGCCGAGGAAATGCCATAAATATTAATAACAGAAATATAACATAAATGGTAATAACATAAATGTTAATAACATATGTAATATTGTTAATACTCGGAAATTCTATAAAAATTTGACATTTCCAGTGCCCTACATACACTGCGCGACAACCGATTAGCATACCCTATGGTGCTCGTCTTAGAAACTTAATATCAGGAAAACTAAAAAAGCTTTTCAAATAATTTTTTTTCCCCCTAAAAAATATATAATTTCTCACGAAAATTAATAGAAGATAGTATACTAATTTTATTAATAACATTTTAAATTAATATAAACAAACATAACATACAAAATTCTCTATTATTTTTGCGACAGCCGGTTAGCACAGTCACTTGAAAACTTCAAATAACAAAAGAAAATGGGTTCAAATTTCATTCAAATTGTTTTTTAATATTAATTTAAATATTTTTAACTTTTTTTGAAAACAAATTAATAATGTGTTGAGCCTACACGGTTAAGTACGACTTCGTACATCCGCTGAGGTAAGGAGCCATATAATTTTTTTATATAATTGAGTGAAACCGCCTCCCTAGACCTTTTTATTCCTTCAATGAGTTCTGCTTCAGTTGAATACTGCCTGCCGGACTCGTACACCTTTCGTGCCAGCCATCCCCAAAAATTTTCTATAATGTTTAGGTCGGGAGAGTATGGCGGCCAAATAATTCCACGTTTTGACCATCAATCCAGGACTTTACAACCCTGGCTGTGTGGATAGGTGCGTTGTCCTGCTGGAACTTCCATTTCAAGGGTCTAAAAATATCCTTGATTGCAGGGAAGGCCGTATTCAGTACACCTTTGTACGCAATGGCATTCATACGGCTGGTAAGAAACTGCAGTTCTATAGTGCCAAAGTATGTTAAAGCTCCCCACACTATGACACCACCCGCACGACTGTGCAATCGATCTAAAGTATGCTCTTCCTTTCTGAGATTATGAAAGTAGCAGGCATAGCCGTCAGGACCCTCCAAATCGAACTTTTTTTCATCTGAAAAGACTACACGCTCCCACTCCTTAGTCTAGGTCATATTTGATCGACAGAAATTGAGTCGTTGCATCTTTCTAAGTTGGTTTAGAGGTGGTTTTTTTTTAATTTTAGATGCTTCATATGATCAGCATTCGAAATAACTCTTTGCACAATCCGAACGCACGCTTTAACACCAGTTTTTTTCCTTTACTTTGGCGACTGAGTCGTGGGAATCAGATGCGTGTCGTGGTATGATTCGCTTGTCAGCTGCTGTTATTACTGATGATGGCCGACCTTTCATGTTTTTCCCATATGTATCCTCATTGCTTAAATGTGCGGTAATAACTTTACGGCTGCGCTTAATATTTTTTTTGATATTTGAAGAATAGAGTGCCCACACTCTTTAAACTGATAGGAGAGAGAGTGTGCTAATCGGTTGTCGCGCAGTGTACATACAGCAAACTATTGGTTTTCTATAAAATCAACGAAAAAAATTGGTACGATTAGATTTTTTCAGTGGAGAGGAAGAATATGGCCTAACTCGCCAGCCATCGCGTACGATTGTGTGAACTAACGCTGGTCAGGATTGTGTAGAAGAAGGGTTGACTCTCTATTGCGTGATATCTTCAACTTGATTCTTTAAAAAAGACTTATGAGATAATTGCCGGCGGAAGCTGATGAAAAGTAAAGTCTTCTCTCGATGAACAAATATTAAACTCTACACTCATAACTACACTACCCGTCTTGCATAAGCTTGGATCATGTCGACATCTGATTAATCGACACTTAGGGTTTTTTGAGAGAAAGGTTTTGCGGAAAATTTATTGCCCTCTGCATATATGCGGCTGTGATTATGCAGACTATAGACATTGTTTAGTGAATAAAAAGACGGCTAAGCTAGCCGAATGGATGAAAGAATTTTGCCTGTGGACGCAGAACCAAAGAAAGACATGGTCTCCGTTGGAAGGGTTAGGTGGAGTGCATCATGCTTTAAAAATTTCGTAATTCAATGCCGTTGCAGAGACTCGAACGATAACAACATTCGTCGCGGCGACGGCTCTAACAGTCTTCGTAAGACTGGTTTAGCAGCTGAACATTTGCAGTCTTCTGTGTAAGGGCGACGGTAAATACCGCAGACGATGTAACGACTCTGTCCATATGAATGGCGTCCTCGTAGTCAAATCACCACGCATAGTATATACATGAAGATCGAGAATTCCGCGTAATGCGACTTAGGTCTGGATATTGTAGCAGGTTTAACTCCTGCCTATACAGCCTCGACCCCGATATTCCTAATGTATGTCCAGCATGTAAAAAGTCTACGCAAACACTAATCACCTCTTCTATACCTCATCTAAACCTCCTCTTCCGTCGGTCCGAACCCGTTGAAATAGCTTGTTTCCTGTACCACCTGTTGGATGACCTCGGTAACTCTGATTAAGAAGCCTGCCCCTAAGCAGAAAAGCCGCTACAACCACAAAAACAACATAGGACGACTTGGTATATAGCAACAGATATAGTAGAGAGCACCCAGAGACGTTGGCTACACTGACTTGTACAGCACGTTCATATGAGGGAAAACACAGCAGCCTTGAAAGCTATTGCTGCATTAAGAGCTACGCTCCGTTGGAAGGATCAAGTGGAGAAGTAAGTGCCTGGTTTTACTTGGTGTCCCCAATTGCAGTGGATCTGCGAAGGAGTTTGTGTGCCTACGCCAATTAAGAAGAAACAGATTCTTGATGCAGAATGCCAAAGTTCATGTTTGGTTGCGGGTTGGCAGACAGTCAGACGGGCATGGCTAGATGAACTCAGTTCGTTTCGAAAAAAAATCCAAAAACACGTGTTTACGTTCAACATTAATTTTCAATTGAGTTCAAACAAAGTTTTGCATTTCTCAAAACAGACAAAATAAAGCTATTCATACTCGTACATACATACATAAATATGTACATATGTACATACTTTCGCCGGCAATATCAAGTGTTTAGAAATTTAATTAAATTTCATTGCCCAACTATGAATACACTTGTATGCATGTATACACATGTATGCATGTATATGTATGTATGTGTGTGTGTATGTGTATGTGTGTATACATATGCATCTAGTCAACCCAGTAGCACCCCTCGCAATTCACACTCACTCCTCTGTACAAAACCACACCGAACACCCGGTCGCCGTGTTGTGGCGTTGCGCTGTTGATGAAGCGATGCCATGACGATTAGGTTTTATTAAAAAGCCAAATATGCACAATTATTATGCTATACGACCGAACCGACTGAGCGAGCGACCGGCCACCATTTGACAGCCCATACCCTTGGCTAAGTACGATTGAAGCATACAATGTCCTTGTTCAAAGCTACCGAAACACACTGCCACTTGCCGTTAGTTGGTTGGTTGGTTGGTTGGTTGGTTTGTTGGTGGTGATGCTGCACAGACACTCGACGATCGACGTTTATTTGCTTTTTAATAAAACAGGTGCTCGCCGACTTTTGGCACGGTGCGTATGTACGAGGGGATTGAGAAAAGTTCGGTCAGATGGTAACGTTCAATATGTTTTTGTTAAATCTTAAAAGCCTTTGCAAATACTTTATTAATCTGCCTTTCAAATTTTAGAACGACCGGCTAAAATGGAGACGAGCAAACACAAGATAGCTGAGGATAGGTCAGCCCAAATTCTACCACCAACGCGCAATTTACAGCCAGTACAAATATTCAGTGAATGCTAAATTGCATATGGAACAATTGCGCCGTCTATAAAGGCTATTTCCGATGATGCCAGACCGGACATTTTTCCGTAGAGGACGAGCACCGAGAAGGTCGACCAAAATCTTCCACTGATAACGTCAATGTAGCTCTGGTAAAGTCCAAAATTGACGAAGACCTACGATTGATACAAGAAATGATTGCTAAGCAATTGGGCTTGAATGTCATGCAATGGCTTTATCGTGAATATTAATTAATCATCTGGGATACACGAAGAAATCTGTTCTATGAGTACCACGAATTTTAAATGAAGCCTAAAAAGATTCTATAATTATCAGTCTAGTAACTTTAGTAAAGTCGTTACTGGTGACGAGTCTTGGTTCTATAAGTACCAGATCCAGAAACCAAACAGCAGTCCATGGTATGGCGCCCTACAGGAGCGAACCCACCCGTAAAACGTAAGCAACAAAAATCAGCAGCAAAGCTAACGATTGAGTTTACTTCACCCGATCTAAAATCGCAGCCGGTAGTCCACTGGAAAATGATCAGATGGTAACTGCAAAATCGCACACCGAAGAGAGCTTACCAAAAGTTTTAAAGAATTTGTTTGGAAAACAGAAAGA